GATGATTACTTTCTATCTGAAAAATTGAAAGCCAAGTCTGAACTCTCAAGTCATGATCATTCTTCCTTATTCTAATTGCTTTGAAGGTACCTAGAAAAAGCACACGCAGAAGTAACAGATTCTAATAATTGCTGAATGGAGCAGGTTCTCACAATTTTTTTTCCACCTCCACCATGTAAATACTGTAATGAAGCAAATTTAGACTCAGCAGGATAAAAGGCAACAACGTTAAATGCTCAAGCTGGACTTGAGCTCAAGAAAATTGCTTTGAAGGTACCTAGAAAAAGCACACGCAGAAGTAACAGATTCTAATAATTGCTGAATGGAGCAGGTTCTCACAATTTTTTTTCCACCTCCACCATGTAAATACTGTAATGAAGCAAATTTAGACTCAGCAGGATAAAAGGCAACAACGTTAAATGCTCAAGCTGGACTTGAGCTCAAGAAGTTGGATCAACTCCATCAGCATTTACTCACTCAGCCAACGGGCCTCTTTTTTTTTTATCGTTTTCGCATTTTTCTAGTTTGGCTAAAGAATTCAGTGCTGCAGACAGCTGAAATTGCAGATATTTTCAAATGTCCAAATAATATGGCCATAGCTCATTGGTGTCAACTTGGGAGTTGGTGAAATAAGCACCAATTCAACTACTGAGAAGAAGTTCTTTGATCATAGGATAACATGTGTTCTTGAAAGTTCCAAAAGAGATATACCATAGTCTACTGGAGTTGATCTGGGAATGTGTGAAGTCACGAAGGCCTACTATTGAACAGAAGCTCCTCACTAAAGTCCCATATCACAATTCTTTGCATGAATGCATCCTTAACTATGTCCCATATCACAATTCTTTGCATGAATGCATCCTTAACTATTCAAATACAAATAACTGGAAATAAAATTTGCATTTTCATAGCCATTCAGCACAAGCTTTGGCCAGTTAGATAAAAAAATACTCCCTTCGTCCCATTTTGTTTGTATGGTTTGACAAAACGCACATATTAAGAATTTAGTCAATAAAAGTTATTTTACCCTTAATAACTCATTAAGGTGCTAAAAGTCATTGATTCAATGAACAATTATAAAGGTTATTATGAGAAAAATAATTGTTCTCATGTCTAAATTTACACCGTCTTTATCTAAATCATCATTTCTTTGCTTTATTGGCAAAATTAGTTGTTTTGGTAGCGTTTAGTTGTTAGTTGTTTGAGTAGCCTTGCCTTTTATAAAACAGTAAAAGTTAAATATTACATTGATTAGATTTTTATAAAATGTTGCCTTAACTTATAAAAATTAGTTCAAATGCTAGTGTTTTGACTAAAAGTTATTTAAAAAGCTATTGTTAAACACACCCGTAGTCCTAACCAAAGCTATCAGCTTTTGGTTATTATAGACAGACAAATTTATTTCCATATCATCCACACTTACAAATCTTGTTCGTATTACAAGTCTTTGAATTAAAAATCGCTACAATTGAATAAAAATCCTATGGCTACAAGACCACTTCTTCGCTTTGTTTGCCAAAAACAATTGAATAAAAATCCTATGGCTACAAGACCACTTCTTCGCTTTGTTTGCCAAAAATGCTAGGCCCAAATGTTGAATAGACAATTTCAACCAACAGAGGAAACTGCAGAAGTGCAAACAAGGAGACAGGTACACAAGCCACAGCTCCAACTGGAACTGCAATCCACTGGATTTTATAAAACAAAACCAAGTGAAAAGCTCCACTGAAGGCTGCTAACATGGAAGCTATTGAGAAAAATAAGGTTATAAGACCAATGCTGAATCTCATAGGCAAGGCTTTAAGAAAATCTTCTTCTGCATATCGGGATGTGAGCATTCCTAGAAACATTAGCAGCGAAGTAGATGAAGAGAAAAGGGCTAAGACATCTGAAATAGCGAAAATCATAAAAGATGTTTGGTTTAAGTAATTGGGAATCCCTTGACCACTGTTGCCACCTGGAACAGTAAAAGCTGCTGCAAAAACTACAGTAAGAACAAGTGCAGCAACAGTTGCACATGATGTTGCTGTTTCCTTCATCCATTTCTCGCCTCTCTCAACCAGATCCTTGTGCTTCCCTGTGAACACCTCTCTTGGAGTTTTTCCTTCTTTATTTTTCTCTTCTTTGTATGATGGCTGGACAACCTTCTCCACTTCCTGTGCAAAATTTTACAACTGATTTATGGAAAATAAACTAGGAAATTAAGATTGTCTGTTCTAGGTTTATATTTATATATAACCTTAAACCATTGCAGTTCTCTTTGCATTTGAAAAGCAGCACCAGAAATTCTGGTTGAAGGCTGCAACTCCCCCGCTAAATGCAACATGTTGTTGCCTGATTTATCTTGCATTGCTGTAAGAAAATGCTTATGCGTACCCATTTGATATAAGAGATTAAAGATTCTTTCTTGGCGGTATTGAACGGCAAGATGAAAGATATAACCTTAAACCATTGCAGTTCTCTTTGCATTTGAAAAGCAGCACCAGAAATTCTGGTTGAAGGCTGCAACTCCCCCGCTAAATGCAACATGTTGTTGTCTGATTTATCGTGCAATGCTGTAAGAAAATGCTTATGCGTACCCATTTGATATAACAGATTAAAGATTCTTTCTTGGCGGTATTGAACGGCAAGATGAAAGATTGTAAGCCCATCGTCTTTATTGCTAAGCCAAAGTACTTGAGGGTAGGCTTTAATAACCTCTATAACAAATTCTTGATTACCCGATCTAGCAGCTCTCCGAGATGCCGGTCCTAATATTTTATCAGCTTGTTTTACACCTGCTTTTCTAACTTCAGAAATCAAGAGTTTCAGTAGTTCCTTGGCTTGCTTATTCATCAATACAGTATTTTGTATGCGGTGTAGAAATTGAAATTGCTTCAGTTCTTTATTGTTTTCTCTTATTCTCCCTTTTTGATTCTCAATATCTCCATCTCCAGGAACAGTTTCTCTATTCGCATAAAAACCTACAAAGTCTGCAATAAAAAAGGAACATTGTCTGTTTGATTCACGGAAAATAATAATTTGCAATGAATAGCATAGATGAATTAAGATCACCAGGACAAAAATGATACAATAGGGTCCCACAATATCCAAGCCGGCTTCCATTTGCAAATACTTTAGATTTTTCCGTCAATGCATATAAAGCAGTTGAACCTCCTTGGCCTTCACGTGCTAATGCAGGATAGCGGTTCAATACATCAATTGCAATGTCTGTCATGAAGAATAATTTTGGCATTAATGTTAGGTACGTAAACCATATTTGAAATAAAGCATAGTAAACCCGGTTGACTAACGACTTTTGAACTATCTTTTAGTGTTTTGATCGGCTCAAAACTTTTTTTTTTTTTACAATAGGCCATATTTTTTTTTACAATAGGCCCATTGTTTTTTCTCCCGAATTCAATTAATTAAACGGCTAATATCATTTTCGTCATTTTAAGTTAACCAACTAAATAAACAATTATTTCTATCGAATACTTCTAATTTAAACTCCCTTTATTAATAGCTACCAATTAATATCTACTAAAATAACTAATATTACCCGACCATCAGACCATGAATACAAGAAATTGCACAAACCGTAAAAATCAGCAATTATCAGGTAACGGACAAGTTGGACACCACTTTCACCAGCAAAAGGACTTGGATACTCATCCTTCGTCGCTGATAGAAGAAAACTGACAGTTTCTTTATGGCCATATTGAGCAGCGTCACAGAGTGGCACCTGGTTATGATCGTTTGTTGCTTGAGTTAATTTTGGATTCTTTTCCACCAGAAGCATAGCAACTTCTTTGTTGCCACAAATAGCAGCATGGTGAAGGTACGTGCTACCATTATAATTCTTTATTTCTAGTGCATCAGCTGGCAATTTTTCTATTAGATACTGTATAAATGCAATAGAGTGACCGCTTTTATTGCCACATGGAGAACAGTGTCTTTCATGTCTGAGATGAAAGCAGTCAGCGCTCTAGAATCCTTTTCAATAATTCCTTTCGCAGTAATCAGTTGGCCTTGTACTATTGCATCATACAGTGGCAAATAGCGGTCATAATCATTCGTGCAAATAGCGGTCATAATCATTCGTTTCTGCCATTATCTTGCTCCTTTGTCAATCCCAAAAAATGAAAGAAGATGAACAACAAGAATTTGTAATTTTAGGTTATTATAAAATGGACCGAGCCGCAAGGATGGGAGCAGGATATGATCTTATACTATATTATAAAATGGATCAAGTTTAACTTACTTGTCCAAGTCTTATATTTTCAACAAAAACATTATCCCAAATCAACGCGGGATAACATGGGTTGTGTTCACGATCAAATTAGAAGCAAAAGAGTGTTGTTTTAAAGAAAGAATTTCGAATCTTCATTTGTATATTAATTCTTTGAGTAAAATTGGAGGAAATTCAACATTTATCACTTTTATGCTTTTGATTAAAGATTAAAGGGAAAGAATTTTGTTAGTCTTCAATTAGGGTTCCTGACAAGTTTGAGATTTGCATATTCTTTGAGTAAAATTGGAGGAAATTCAGCATATATAGCTTTTTGATTTTGAAGAAAATACATTCACTCTGGATCCAAAGCTATGCTACAGAGTAAAAGAGGCCTTTCTTAATTATGTCAAGAAAAGGTTAAAACTCAACAATTAAGTTGTACGACAAAAATTAAAAGGAAGATAACTTTAGCAAAATAGATTATCAAAGAGTAAACTCTGCAATTATTAAGAGATTGACAAGTAAGACACATTTTTGTTGGCAAAAGGACTTGGATCCTCACCCTTAATTAGGCATTGACAGAAGATAGCTGACAGTTTCTTCATAGCAGCAAGAAAGAGTAACACTTTGTTTTCAGATTTTCTTGCTTGGGCTTGAGGCATTGACAGAAGATAGCTGACAGTTTCTTCATAGCAGCAAGAAAGAGTAACACTTTGTTTTCAGATTTTCTTGCTTGGGCTTGGATTCAAGTTTTCAGTGTTGAAAGGCTCAACCATAAATGATTCACTGAGAGAAAAGATTGATAAAACTAACCACTATTTTGATTCTTCATCATGTAATTTTCTACACAAAAACCATGCCAAATTCTTTTGCAGGAACTACTTTTTAAAAGTAAGCTATGATGAAGAGGGTGCTAGAAAAACAAACAAAAAACACTATAATTTACAGCATGAACTACAGGCCATTTCCGATGTGATATATGATAGGTCAACTGCGTGTTGGTAATTTCCTACGCTGAGATTGGCAGCGGAAAAGGCAAGGTCACAATCATTTCATGGGAAGATTTGGCCGCGGGAGGATGGTATTAGCCAGCTCGTCATTTAACTTGACGGGAAGGGGTGGCATCTGCTTCATTACGTCCGGCATGTCATTCAACCTGCAAATGAAAAATGAAACCGATGATTTCTTTCTATCTGAAAAATTGAAAGCCAAGTCTGAACTCTCAAGTCATGATCATTCTTCCTTATTCTAATTGCTTTGAAGGTACCTAGAAAAAGCACACGCAGAAGTAACAGATTCTAATAATTGCTGAATGGAGCAGGTTCTCACAATTTTTTTTCCACCTCCACCATGTAAATACTGTAATGAAGCAAATTTAGACTCAGCAGGATAAAAGGCAACAACGTTAAATGCTCAAGCTGGACTTGAGCTCAAGAAATTGGATCAGCTCCATCAGCATTTACTCACTCAGCCAACGGGCCTGTTTTTTTTATCGTTTTCACATTTTTCCTTGTTTGGCTAAAGAATTCAGTGCTGCAGACAGCTGAAATTACAGATATTTTCAAATGTCCAAATAATATGGCCATAGCTCATTGGTGTCAACTTGGGAGTTGGTGAAATGAGCAGCAATTCAACTACTGAGAAGTTCTTTGATCATAGGATAACATGTGTTCTTGAAAGTTCCAAAAGAGATATACCATAGTCTACTGGAGTTGATCTGGGAATGTGTGAAGTCACGAAGGCCTACTATTGAACAGAAGCTCCTTCACTAAAGTCCAATATCAAAATTCTTTGCATGAATGCATCCTTAACTATTCAAATACAAATAACTGGAAATAAAATTTGCATTTTCATAGCCATTCAGCACAAGCTTTGGCCAGTTAGATTAAAAATTTGCATGTTTCATAGCCATTTCAGCACAAGCTTTTGGCCAGTTAGATTAAAAAGTTACTCCCTCCCGTCCAATTTTGGTTTGCCATGGTCTGACAATAACGCGCATTAATTAAGAATTTAGTCCCAACAAAAAGTTTATTTTTGCCCTTCTTTGCCCTTGATACGAAGGCCTACTATTGAACAGAAGCTCCTTCACTAAAGTCCAATATCAAAATTCTTTGCATGAATGCATCCTTAACTATTCAAATACAAATAACTGGAAATAAAATTTGCATTTTCATAGCCATTCAGCACAAGCTTTGGCCAGTTAGATTAAAAAGTACTCCCTCCGTCCAATTTTGTTTGCATGGTCTGACAAAACGCGCATATTAAGAATTTAGTCAACAAAAGTTATTTTGCCCTTCTTTGCCCTTGATAACTCGTTAAGATGCTAAAAGTCATTGATTCAGTGAACAATTATAAAAGTTATTATGAGAAAAATAATTGTTCACATGTCTAAATTTAGAAACCCTACAAACATTTTAAGACATCTAAAAAAGGAATAACAAGCAAACAAAATGGGATGGAGGGAGTAAAAAGCTGCGGTTATTCTCCATGTAAATGAAGTTAGGTTAAATTGATCAACATTTATACCAGTCTTCATAAGTGTAACATTGAAAGTGATTGATAATTGCAAGTCAAGAATACATGCACAAGAAGATAAATACGTGCACAATGATACAGTGGGCACCAACACGTGTACACACACACACACACAAACAAGCAGACAGAGAACATAGTGATTAAGTAAAATGCATTAAGCACTAATAAAGTTGCATGATAAAAATTAAATGCACAAGTTGCAACATACTCATCCATAATCTTGAGAATGTTGTCTCGAGTTTGGCAAAGGAGACTGATGTTATCCTGTATCTGAAAAGGAAAAGTTAAAAAAAAAAAAAAAAGCCCTTGAGTTTTGTGGCTACCAGGGATACCAGAAGCAGGAGCAAAACAACAACTCTCTTTTAGATTATTACACCCAAATAGCATGGAATGCGATTCACTGTGGTAAGCAAGTATACTATAATTTTCTTCTTATTGCACTCACCAGCTTTTTTGTGAGCATTTAGATGTCACAACATATATAAAATTTTAGTATTGAAAAGAGAACTAACTTATATCACACAAATTAAAATGTGAGGAAGCAAGTTGTTAAAGGAAATACTTGAAGGGCAAGGCTACAATAATAGAGAACCTCTGCAGAAATCTTGTCCAGAAACAGGCTACATCTATGATTTCTAGTTTGGTCAACTACATAGTTACATTAATGCATTCCAGGATGTGGTTCTTGGTTATCTTCTACTAAAGATGATGTTAAGAAATAGATAAAACACACACACACATATGAAGAGAGGGAGAGGGAGAGGGAGAGCTAATAGTACACAGCATTTGAGCTAAAATAAACCCATCGAAAGCACGTGTTCATCCATCATGCATAAAAGATATATCACAATCTTTAAAAGGAAGCTCATATTAGCACCACCGGTGCATAAATAATGTAGTGAGCCCAAAATTTTGGATTTTACTGCAAAGATGCTTCCAAACTAAATTCAAAGCAAAAAATCATGTCACTTGATGAGATGATGAGTATTTTCACCTGCATAGTAGAAAGATTAGCAGATATTTGATTGAAGGCTTTTGCATTTTGCTCAAGAAGCTCCCCTGTAACTCCACCAATGGCTGCAAGAAGAACATTTCAGCTTATCAATACCAATAAAATAGCAATATCATAGAAGATATTATGAATATTTATATAAATAGAAGACTAGACAAGAGCCAAATATTGAAGGCTTCACGTGCTACAAATAAAATAACCTCCTGGGCAGAAGACGGTACATGTGGCAACACCTAATGTTTTATGAATTCCAATTTGGGAATCTGGTCGGACTTAACCTTACCATAAACCACAAATATCCAAAATTTTCTATTTTGCCCTAGACCCAGCCAACAAGGAGTGTTCTCAATATTCAGAATTCAACACAAAGTTCCTCAGCATCATTTGTTACATCCTCATTAACATAACTTGTTATGAGTTGCTCAATATGAGGTGTGTATATGAGACTGAATTATCTCACTAAATCAACTCATTTAAAATCACAAACCAAATACCTGCACATGATGTGTTTTAGGAGGCATGCAGTTGTAGGTAAACTCACAATTAATTTATCTCAAAGCAAGAGAAATACACTTACATATGTGGACAAACAATAAATTTAACAGAAAAAGTAGCCAGGATCTTATATTGGACTATTCAGTCTTAAGACATCCATGATGTCACACACTATTAACAAGCTAATACGCATCTGAGTATTTAAGATGACATGTTTCAAAACTCCTTTCCCCAACCCAGGTAAACGTCTGTTCCAAACAATTCATTCACATCTGGAGGTTTTTAAGGACTGCCAATCACTTAACATAGTTTACTTACAGATGTGTAGAATTAACTCTTACACAAACTTCTGGACTGATAATCAGCACTTAGATAAACATTTATGTAAGAAAAGAAGAGTAATTTGTTTAATTTGTTTCCTAAGAGAACTATTGCCTTTGAGGATGATAAAGGTTTTGCATAGAAGCAATAACCTCACCTTTGTATGAAATGCCATCATCATAATCCATGGGAATCATTGGAGTTGCATATGGATGAACATTAGGCCTGGCCATGAAGTGAGATGCCTTCAACGGAGGATCAATAACTCTTTCCTGAGAAACAAAAGCACAAGCTATCCACTAAGCATTTATTATCAACCCACGAAACCACAATCACATTTTATATTGTGGATGCTGCCTACCCTGTTCTATGACAACATTATGTGTCATGAAAGGTCTCCCCTATGAAAATTGACTGCCGATCTTTTGGCAATTGCAGGAGCAAATGACGAAGTTCAAGTTTTAAATGAAAACTTAGGCACTACCAAGCACATAATAAACCATGAACAAATGATGAGAACTTTACCAGTTGTTATCTGTTCCCCTATCAAATTATCACATTTGAATGCATGGCATGTACACTTCCCAATTTATCAGATAAATAATACATCTTGCGTAAGGAATGTATCTGCATGAAGTTTGAAATTTACCCCACTATTACAGTCAAGAAGCCAAGGCCCAATGCTGATTTTAGGACACTAGATGCATCAACAACTTGGTCTCAGCAGTAAATCAACATTCCAACTTATGATGCAGGACCATCCAGTTATCAAGTAAATGCTAATGCACAAAAACAAAAATAATGCAGCAGAAATTAATGTAGATAAAAGATTATTTAATTGTACACAGAGCTGAAGGGCTGCATGGAACTAACTTAACCATTAAATCAATTTGAGTCAATAAAACACCACGACATAGACACCCCACGAGGAATCTAATTTTCAGACTATGTTTCACTCTAATGTAGAAATTTCTGTTGACAATCATAGCAAGAACATAGAAAATTATGTGAACATCCTCTCAGAGTACTTTTACTAATACACAGAAATTGTAGCAAATTGTAGAGTAAATACTCCGGTCATACCAATCCAATTGAAGAAGACATCATTAAATAGAAAGAGATAAGTTCCAAAAAGACATTCTTATAATGATAAATATTGGGAATTCAAAATCAGAACTTAATGGCGGATTTGACTTCCTGCTTTATTGCATACATATGTATCTGTGTTAAAGACAGAGAGCAAGAGAATTCCATGTCTTCAAGTGATATTGGCATATAATTAAAATTAACACGTAACTTAATCACCGAGTCTGTATATATACAAAACCTTCAGACATAGCACAAATACAGCAAACAATACCTTTTTATCTTTGCTTTTTCTCGCTAAATTCTCTTCCTTCCTTCTCTTGCTATTCTCCTTTTTCTGGACAAAGAAATGAATGAGTAGTACATTTTAGGATAACAAAAAATAAGCCAGAAGTCTAGAGCAATATTCAGTACACAGCATTATCTTCAGAAGTAAAACTCCAAAAGGAGAACATTAAGTTATAACACCTTCCAAAAAGTTGATCAATAATTTACTACTGAATCAGCAGATTACTGCAATCTAATAATAAGAAACCAAAATCCTGATGATAATCATTTCAAATAAGACTTAAAGCAAGACTAAACAAGATTAGGAAAACTTACAGTCATCCATCTGCAACGTAATGCAACATCCCGGACCGTCTTATTCTGCAGCTGCATTGCTATTTTGGCATAACGTATTATATTTGATTCTGCTGCATATCTGCAGAGACAGAAAAAAAATCAGACCATTTATATGAACTAATGAAAAGCTATTACTGTTTTGACAGAAATAAAATTATCAGACCAACATCTTTACAGAATAATGCAACTTATTATAACAGTTAGCAAAAAGCTTAGAACAGAACATCTTACATGAATCCTACCCAGACTTCGACAGAAAGTCTTGTCATAACTATAACGATAAGAAAGATACCGAAATAGAAAAGTTCCAAATACAATGATCTTAGTGAAACAGAAGGGTGAAGTTAGTCAACTGATGAGATTTCAGAAAAAAAAAAAAAAAAGTAATATTTGTTGTTGGCTAAATATGCATGGAAATTAACATGATTACTGAAAACCTCTATTATGCTTGATTAGTTAAAACAAAAGAAGGGTAAATCACTTTTATGGGTCAAAGGCACAAACCAATACTCTTGCCAAAGGTTCATAATTTTTAAAGGTAAACTGCTGGGAAAGACTAACAACCTTTCACCTTGACAATTCAGTTCTACATAATTCTTTATGCCCTCATGTTAAAATTGAAATACAAACGAGATATAAATTAGCATCTAGATAATCCTTATATATATATGTTACGTCAAAGAACAAAACCTATATTAGAATCTAAGGATCAAGTTGCATAAGAGACAAAAATAAAGTAAGAAAAAAAATAAGAACTTCATCAGTAACAGCTTATGCAATAAGAGTAAGCTGATTACTTCTATTAAAATCTTTGTTAAGAGTTCTATCGATCATATGATGTGAGTTTCTTCGAACAAAATTATTGCAGAAAAATAGAGCTCGGAAACAAAGATGTGCTCCAAGTAATAAGTCATTTACCGTTTTAGCCATACAGTAGAATTGACATTTTGAAAAAAGCTTTTGACAAAATCCATGACAAGGCAGCAAATTTAGGCGCTAATTCAATTATGCAACATAAAGACATTATGCAATAACCTCTATATTCAACATAATACAAATTCCAAGTGTCCTAAAGACTTTAGCCAAATTGTCAAGATATCAATTTTAAACTCAGACCAGAAAATACCAAAACCTTAATTCAAAAACTCAATAATAAATCAAAATTCAGTCCAGACGCAAAGGACCGAATTCAACAAAAATAACAAAACCGTCGAAAAAATTACCAAAAAGAAAGCCCCAAAAATTGCAATAACCCAATCCAAGAAAAGCAACAAGTAACACAAAGACACTAAAAGGAAAAAAAAAAAAAAAAGGAAAGGCACTCACTTTGATAAACCATCTTCTAGTATCGCTTGCTCTTCCAAGCTCCAATCTGGGGAAATACCAGGGTTATGTTTCAAAGCTGTACCAGAACTCTCTGATACAGAATTTCCATGACCATTAGTTGGATTTGTCCCATTAAAAGAAGACGATGCATGATTAGCGTCATGATGATGGGTACCAGATGGATTCGCCATGAATAACAAAACAACGAAAGCAGTTTCTATACAATGATATTTACAGATGCAAAACTCAAATGCACAAAATCACGCAACCTCAAAGATCCCGCCAGCACCGGTGTTCCCGCCATAAAAATGGCGGAAATAGAGATTAACAATATGGTTTACGAGTATAAGAAGATGGGTTTGATTTTTGAAATTTAGAGAAACCGGAAATTTGAATTTTTTATGTTGTTAGACAAATATATAGATATAACATAATATATACAAGAAGGACATGGACGTGCAGTTTGTGATACTGTATAGAGCTCTCTGTCTTCGACAACGAAATTTGAGGGAGAGGGAGAGATGGATGTGTACGGAATCCAAAGGAAAGGTTTTTTAGTTTGGAGGTGAAAGCAACTTTTCTTCTTCTTTTTTTTTTCGTTCTCTTTTTCTTTTCTTTTTTTTTTTTTTTTTTTTTTTTTTTTTTTCTTCGACAACGAAATTTTGAGGGAGAGGGAGAAAGATGGCCTGTGGTAACGGAAATTCCAAAGGAAAAGGTTTTTTTTAGTTTGGAGGTGGAAAGCAACTTTTTCTTTCTTCTTTTTTTTTTCGTTCTCTTTTCCTTTTTTTTTTTTTTTTTTTTTTTTTTTTTTTTTTTTGTTTTTTTGTTTTTTTGTTTTATTTTGTCTCTTTCCTTTTTTTTTTCTTTTTATTCATTTTGAGATTTTGTTGTTTTTCATTTTTGGAGATATTTCATAAATTATATATATTCTCAGAAAAAGTTACTCTTTTTTTTAAAGAAAATTCACTTTATAAAAAGGTAAAATGAAATTCTTATTTTGTTTTATTATTTTGATTAGTAATTAGTAATAGTTTATCAAATTAGTAAAGTTTGAGAATAGTTAGTAATTATTTTCATAAAGTTAATGAAGTTTAAATAGAATATATAAATACAAAACTCGAAAAATATTTAAAACATAATTAATGGAATAGCAGTTGATTATGAATTCTATGAATTATGAGCTGATAATTAAAAAAACTAATTGTTGGATATGAATCAACTGAACTAAACACTTTCTAAATTGGGAAATTTTATTTATACGTTGTGGCTTAGTTAGCAACGCAGGCTGGACATGTGGAAAAAACTCTCGAGTTTGGTCCCCAATAAACATACCTACAGAAGGGCGAAGCACCTTAACTGTGACTAAACCCTAAACCGAATTAGTCATACTAGTGGTTTAACTTCTATGATAAATGAGCAAAAGGAAAAGCTTTGCACAAATATAGTTTTAACTTAAAATGACAAAAAAAAAAATATTTGTTGTTTAATTGGCTAAATTCATAGAGAAAAAATAACATGTATGATTGTCCAAAAAATTTAATTAAAAGCTAAAGGTTGGAATACATAAAAAGCTCATATAAATGAATATTATAAAAATTATGTTATCGAACGTTATAATTAATAGAAATATAGTTTTAACTTGATCAAAACTTATAATTAATAGAAATATAGTTTTAACTTGATCAAAACACTAAAAAAAGCTGACTAAATGTAAATATTGCACAGATAAACATCAGAGTACTTCAAATAGAGATGTCAATCAATAATCAAAAGTAAGAAACGAGAGATTAATTTTATCAAATTGAAGAATGATTGGAGAATATGCTTTAGCATACTCTTGTTAAAGTGAAGTTATTTTTTTTAATCTTATTATTAATATTATTCTCATTTCAAAATTCTTTTTTCTTTTTCATTAAAAACCATATAGAGTTGTTGGGATTTTTTTTTTCTTTTTCCCTTACACCAAACACGAAAGCAACAAATGTTGGCTATAAAAAATGGATTCTATTGGTCTCTTATAATATCAGATTCTTGGAATATATATATTATTGTCAATAATGAAACAAAAATAGTGATATGAAATTATTTTTTTATATTATACCAAATTTGAGTTATCTATCAATTCGATACGAAGTCGCATCACATTTTTTCTTTTTTTTAAAAAAAATTATAATTACTGCACTGATTAAATTAGAAAGTGCCATGTGGTCGTGTGTAGTCCGTCCGTGTCTATTTAGCAATAGAAAATGAAATTATACTTAATCACCAGCTAAATTATTTATTACCCATTTTATTCTATTTTAGGATTGGAATAAAGTTTTTATCAGTTTGAGTATTTATTTTTTTATTTTTTTATTTAAAATTTATTTTTAATTTATTATTTAATATAAAAATAAATAATTAGGGTTTTAACTTAATGGATATATTCAATAATATTAGTTGTTTTAATTATTTTAATAGTTGTTAGTAGTTAACTATTAACTATTAACTTATAGTTATTTATATAACAGTTTAAATTAGAAACGTTTGGTAAAAATAATTGTTTAATTAGTTGTTTAATAAAGTTTTTATCAGTTTGAGTATTTATTTTTTTATTTTTTTATTTAAAATTTATTTTTAATTTATTATTTAATATAAAAATAAATAATTAGGGTTTTAACTTAATGGATATATTCAATAATATTAGTTGTTTTAATTATTTTAATAGTTGTTAGTAGTTAACTATTAACTATTAACTTATAGTTATTTATATAACAGTTTAAATTAGAAACGTTTGGTAAAAATAATTGTTTAATTAGTTGTTTAACTTAAAATGATAAAAAATGACATTAATTGTTTAATTAGCCGAATTTAGAGGAAAAACAATGGACTATAGTTGTCAAAAAATAAAAAAAAATAAAAATCTAAATACTAGACTTAAACATTAGGTTACATTTTATAAAATTTCTTTCAACATCTAAAAGTTATTATAAATGTCATGCTAACAAACAATACAACTAATAGAGATACAGTTTTAATTTGGTTAAAACGCTAAAAAAATTTTGTTAAATACAAAAACCAAAGTTAAGAAGCAAAATTAAGTTTGAAAATTTCATTTAACAGTTTAAACTTAAGCATATTCCTAAAAATAGAAAAATAATTTGTCAACCTTTTATTTATTTATTTATTTTTTTAAACCATTTGATATCTAAAATCTACCGTCTCGACTAATTTGGATTGTTTCGACTAATTTAGATTTTCGCCGAATAAATATATAAAGGGAGAAAGCACTCTTTCTCGAATGTTTCAAGAAACTCTACGCTCAGAGTTAGTGAAGTCATGTCATTCCTATCTCACACTCGATGGAATTGTTTGCGTGCCTATGTTATAACACAGACATCAACATTGCTTCCACTTCCGAAGCCATTGAATTACAAGCCCTTGTTTGTACTTTGATTAAAGAATAGCCACCATTGCAGCTACAAGCATCCAGCATGTCACCCCGCTTTATGACAAGCTTATGAGCACCTTTGGGTGGATAATCTTTACAAGGACTTTAATTCTATTTTTTTGACATGAATATTTTTTTTTTTTTTTGAAAACATTAAAATGTTTAGAAATTAGGAGAAAAGAAAACTCAAGAACTGAAATTTGCACAAGCTATTAGGTACCCATACAGAAAACATTAAGGAAAAATTACAGTATGATCTATGTAGTTTATGAAATACAACTAGTCTGTCATTACTTTTTAGAAACTAAACTAAAATTTTCTTATAGTTTACTTGCGATATACTATAAGGTCATTTCGCGTAATTTTTACATTTTTTCTGTTAAGTATGTTATGAAATGACGAAAATACCCTTTTGTTTTTTTATTGACTTAACGAAAAAGATAAAAAAACTGGACAGAATGACATAATAGTGTAATAAAAGCAAAATATAAGAAAAAATTAATATATTTTAAAGAAGGCATGGACAAATTAATTGTATTTTTTATAAACTACAAAGATCGTACTGTAATTTTCCGAAACACTAAAAAAGATTGAACGAAAAAAGGAATACAAAAAGGTTTTTCACAATATATCAAGAAAAAAGAGTCCATTATATTATTGCTTTCCAATCTTTTTCTTTATGGTTTTTAAAGTTAAAATGGGGTAAGTTTCCTTTAACGAGTTCATTGGATTTTTTATTCTTACTTTTTTGAAAGCAACCTTTAGGCATATATATGAGATACATGATGAGAAGTGCCTTCTTAATTTGTAAAATTAAAATGAATTATTTTTATTTATATTTAAAATAAAAATTTGAAATTAAGTAGAGCCAATTCCATAATATTTTGTATAATTCAAACTTTCAAAATATTAGTAATTAATTGAGTTGGATTTTTCTTCTTTTAACTTAATTTTTTTTCCATTTTTTATGCTTATTCTTTCTTTTTTTTAATATTTTTCAATCACCTTATTTTGTTTTTTAAGTATTAATTCCTCTTTTTTTTTCATCAAACCAATAATGGGTAAAACAAATTGTTTTGTTAATTATTATTATTAAGACTAATAAGGTGGCATGAAGCCCACACCAACCGTTTAAGTGTGCTAATTACAGAGGAAGCACTTTCAATGGAGGAGAATTCCAAATTCTTTCAATTAGGTTAAATGGATCGTATTTCAAATCAAATCAATTGATCAGATCATTGAGTTAGATAGAGTTGACTCAGATCAATTTCAAGTCGTTTCTAATCGAATCAGTGGATTATGAGTTGAATTTGAGTGTTTTGTGAAAAGTTAATCATATAACGTTTAACTTTTAAACGTTTCATAAAAGCTATTAAAACGGCTAACAGTTAAATGCTACGAAACATCTAATTTTGCCGAACAGACCCATAATGGAGCTAAAAATAAAAAAGTGATGTACCTTAATAGAAGATCCTATGCCCTAAACTAATAAGAATTCAAAGGACCAGCAAGTTGCTTCTTCAACTTAATTTGGCCATGAATGTTTTTACAGCATATGCTTCACCTTCAATTAAGCACCCTTATGGAAGCTAAAAATTTTCTTTACAGTTGTTTCTGCTGCCCATTTTTGCAAGTGGGTGACGAACCTTCATGCTTAATTTTGGGCAACATGAAGATATAAATATAAATATAAATATAAATATATTTATGCATTTTATATTTAGTCTAACCTTGAAAATAATAAATAAATGTTTTATAATTCTATTTGAACATTTCAAAATAAATTATTCTAAAAAAAGTTAATCTTAATTAGTTCTTCAAAAGATGGAAATATTATATTTTATGTGGTACCAAAAGTAAGCAATTACAAATATTTAAAGAAAAAAAAAAAAAAAGAAAGTCAATATTAAGTACCTTCATCTATCATCCAAGGGCCAACTTTACAATTTGAAAACCAAATTTAGCTCAATAAAAATATTATATTTAAATATCAAACAAATAAGTAAATAGTACTCAAAAATAAATCACAGCTCGTTCGTCAAAGAAACATAATGAAATATTCTATAGGTTTTATTTGCTTCATGCAACAAGCTAATATAATATAACAAACGCAGTCGTTTTTTGGTCAAAAAGACAAATGTAGATCCGATGTTATTAAGATTAGGTGCTACGTTTAAATTTTAATTAATAGGCTATAAGTAATGTAAATGATTGATTAAGACTATTAAAAAACACTCACGTATTTAGATTGATGGATTTTGGTTAAAAAATATAATGTATGAATTTGAAAGATATTTTAAAATAAAATTAAGTAATTTGGATTCCATTATAAATAAAAAAATAAGAAATTAGCAAGTCTTATTTTCAAGATGAAATTTCTTTTTTTTTTTAAAAAAAAAAAAATTATGGGATTGAGAATAGGATGAAATTTATTAATCTCATAGATTTTCACCAATTTTTGTAAAATCAAACCAAGAAATCTATCAAATCTATAATACTTAAGTTTCATCTCTCAAATTCCATCCATCAAAACATCATCTTAATAGTTAATTTTTATTTTTATAAGTGCATGAATTTTGTTATTCATAGTTTTAAAAAATTACTTAATATCTGTAAATTATATTCACTTTATTCCAAAATATAAGCTATTTAAGTTTCTTCGCACGAGGTAGTCCGTCTAAATTACCATTAATCTCAAACCTAATAGTAACTTATAAAGATAATTAATTTATCTAATGTAAATAATTTATTTTTTAAGATAAATACTTAAAAACGATTTTCTTTTTGAGGTAAAATAAACACTTAAAAACGATTTATTTTTTAAGACCGAGGGAATAATTAGGAGTTATAGTTATTTATTCTATCTGTCCCAAAATATAAGTCGTTTAAGGTTTTTACATAAAGATTAAAGAAGCAATTAGCTCTCTAGATTATAACAAAAACCAAGAGTAATTTGACTAAATTATGTTTTAGCTTAAAACCAATAGTAACTTGTCAAAGTATTTATTGTATATAAGATAATATTAGAAAAACATCATTTCTTGCTCATTAAAATACTCAAAACGGTTTATATTTTGGGACAAAATAATTACCCAATAACGACTTATATTTTGGATAGAAGAGTATTTTTCTTTATTTACTTATTTTGCATATAGCACCAAAGATGATGAAAAAAAAAATCTAAAAATTCCAATAACAAAAATAATTAACTGATAATTACTCGAGGTTCTATGATTTGAACAAGTACAAAAATTAAAAATAATGTGCTTTGGGTATCCAAAGAAAGTTTTGGATCACAGAAATTTTGCTTAGTAAACATTGAAAACCCTAAAACCAAGGTAGAGATCACATGCATGCATGTTTCCTTGATGCCTCAAATTAACTCAACAATAAGAATTATCATATAATAATAACAAGGCGTAGAAGAATGTTGAAGCTCTCACTTTCTTCACACGGTTCCTTCTATTAACACCAAAGCTAAAAAAATTACAGAAGTATATTATTTTTTTATTTGCTAGTTCAATATATAAAATAATATATTATCATAGAAATTTATCCAGCATGGCATTCTGTAATGCCACGTGGATGAACCCCCCTCATAAAACTAGCCTATATAAAGATCAGAAATCTCAGTTCCTATCATTCCACAATATTAATCCTATATATGTATGCAAGCTTAGTGCATTAATTAGGCTAAATAGTGAGAAAATGAGAGGAGTATTTTTCTCATTACTAGTTGTTGTATTAAGCTTTTGTGTAGCAAATGTGGAGGCAGCCATCACGCTGCAACCGCCGGTGAAGCTCCGGTGGCATTATTACGAGCGGAACACTACATGCCGTGACGCGGAGGAGTACGTAAGGCATCAAGTAACGTTGTTTTGGAATAAAGATAAAACCATTACTGCTAAACTCCTCCGGTTGCTCTACTCAGATTGCTTTGTAACTGTATGTCTTTCAATTTTTTTTTTTTTATTCTCTACTCAGTTTCATCCATAAACGTTTTGTTTCTTTAGATGAATTTTTTTTTTTTTTTTATCAAAGGTTGCATGTAAAAAACCATTTAACAAATAAAAGTTTTACTCGTGCTTATTTTTGGTTAAAATTACTTGTTTGTTGAACAAAATAATTGCATATTGTTTCCACTTCAGGTCTATGTTTCACATAAGCAAATGCTTATCAAGCTTATATCCCTTTTTTTTTTTTTTTTTTTTTTTTTTTTTTTTTTTTTTTATCAAAGGTTTGCATTTGTAAAAAAACCATTTTAAACAAAATAAAAGTTTTTACTCGTGCTTATTTTTGGTTTAAAATTACTTGTTTGTGAACAAAAATAATTGCATATTGTTTTCCACTTCCAGGTCTATGTTTCACATTTAAGCAAATGCCTTATCAATCTTATATCCCTTTTTTTTTTTTTTTTTTTTTTTTTTTTTGAGATGGCCATTAGTTCTTCTACTGCTAACTCTTTTGAAAAAATTGCGGAAAAAAAAAAAAAAAAAACAGGGTGTGGTTGAAAAAATTGGAAAAAAAAAAAAAAAAAAACAGGGGTGTGATGCATCAATTCTTCTTGATGGACCAAATTCAGAAAGGACTGCACCACAAAATTGGGGACTAGGTGGATTTGTAATCATAGACAAGATCAAAGAGGTTCTTGAACAACGGTGCCCTGGAGTCGTCTCTTGTGCTGACATTCTCAACCTTGCTACCAGAGATGCTGTTCATTTGGTAAGATTTTACAAATCCTACCTTTACTATTACTTTTTTTTTTATAACCGAAAAATGTAATTTCTCTCAAATCATAGAGTATAAAAGTTTTTGGTCCAAACAGCAAAGTGTGTTTCCCGAGGATCGAATTTGTGTTCTCACAATTACAGGGATTGAGGTTACTAACCACTCCAACTAATACCTTATTTATTTACCTTTACTATTATTATTATTATTACTTCTACTTTCTAACCTATAAGCATTATAATCTCTTTCGATCTTAATTCCACTATAATAATAGTTCACAACAAACTCCTAAAGGTCATCAGAATTTGTTCTTAAAGTAAAATTCACATGTTCTATTTGTAAAAACGTCGAAAAAGTTAAAATCCAAGTAACACAAATGAGTCTCTCAACAATTTTACTAAGAATCGTTTATCTAATACCTACTTTGCAGTAGAGCTCATCAAGATTTATATTACTATCTGTTGAAAAGAAAGAAAAAAAAAAAGTATAACTCTGATGGATTAATCAACTCCTAATAGCATCTATGATTACTGATCCAATGAACCACAACAGGCAGGTGCACCATCTTATCCTGTATTCACAGGCAGAAAGGATGGGATGACATCAAAAGCTGCATCAGTAGACCTCCCATCACCATCCATCTCATTGACAGATGCATTGGCATACTTCAAATCTAGAGGCTTAGATGATCTAGATTTCGTAACTCTCCTAGGTATGAATCTTAATCACCAGAAAAAAAAAACAAAAAAAAAAAAAAAAAAAAATATATATATAGATATATATATATATTATATATATATATATATATATACCAAGAAACTAATCTGGCAATAATAATAGCTGCCCACCTTTATGTCCTCATGTGTTATTTTTTGTGTTTCTGTGTATCAGGGGCACACTCATGGGTAAAACCACAACCTGGGTCGTTTTGTTGTGGACCGTTTGGTAACGATTTCAAATAATACAGGAAAGGCCAGATATATACCAAAGAAACTAATCTGCATAATAATAGCTGCCCACCTTATGTCCTCATGTGTATTTTTGTGTTTCTGTGTATCAGGGGCACACTCAATGGGTAAAACACACTGTCGTTTTGTTGTGGACCGTTTGTACGATTTCAATAATACAGGAAAGCCAGACCCAAACATGGAACCAGCATTTGCAAAAGAATTGAGAAAGCAATGTCCAAGAAGAACAAAAAAGGGCCAAACTGATCCTCTGGGGTTTCTAAACCCTGATTCTGGCTCTAACTACAAATTTACAGAGTCCTTCTACAAGAGGGCATTGTCCTACAAATCTGTACTTGGAGTTGATCAGCAGTTGCTATTCAGTAACGACACACTACAGATCACACAAGAATTTGCTGCCAGTTTTGAAGACTTACGGAGGTCATTTGCACTGTCAATGAATCGGATGGGAAACATCAATGTTCTAACAGGAAATGCAGGCGAGATTCGCAAAAATTGCCGGACCACAAATAAGAAATAATCAAATAACACCTAAGATATTATCTTGATAAGGGTAGATTTTATCATCCTAAAAATACTGAAAATATGTTCAATTAAATGATATTGTTTTGCATTTAGGGTATAGTTAAACCCAAGAATAAAAACATGAAAAATCTGTTTTCCCATCCAAAAATAAAATTATGTTACTAAATTTATAAACTGGATTTCAACATTTAGACCCTCTACAGTCATGTACAGCTTTTTGTCTCCAACAAGTTTCTCTTTTCAATTTCATATAAACAAAATGACAGGGATCAAAATTGTCAAATATTGTCAGTACATGATTTTCTTTCTAAAAGTATGGTATAATAAAGTTTTGATGGGAAAAATACAATTAAGTATTTGCCTAACCTGTCAGAAGTGTCCATGGCAATTAGATGCACCCAAAAAAAGAACTTGTTTGGCCTTTTTGATTCTTCCACTTCCTTCAAAAGGAGGAGATGAAAACGAAAGCAAATACTGTAAATAAATATAAAAAAAGACCACAATTCAAATGATAAAATTTGACAAATTGTTGAATTAATTGCAATTTTATAATACGGTCCAGCATCAATTAAAATGCCACTATGCACAATAAGTGAAGTGGGAAAAAAAAAATCATTTATGTAGAATGTCTGATTTGCCTCCTAAACACCTGTGCAGTTCTAATGATAGTTAAGCATAGGCATGACAGCTAATGATGAAATTGAGCTGCATCCAAAATTCAAAAATCCTCTTAAAGAAGTAACTGATAAATGCTTGTAACCATGTTTTGGTTATGCCTCTTTAGTTTTGTGTCAACTTCTTTGACCTAAATATAATAGAATATCGACAACTACCCAAGTATTAATCTACCATAATCAAGAGGTAAGATGAACCCTTAATCACTGAACCTTAAGGGCAGTTTTTCCTTGATCACTAAACTTGAAAATTTGTTCCAACATCATAACTAATCCTCCCCTAAAATTTGACATGGCAGCCCACCTAGAGAGTGGATCCTGCTAATTTTAGGTGAGGTTACCCACTAGAGTTAATTTTCAAGTGATACTGCTTTCTGAAGCCTTACCAATTTGGTCGTGATGACTATATTGCATATATAAGCTGGAATGGAATATGATATCATGTGATTAAATGCCATTCTACTGTAATGCTTACACTAAAAAACATTTATTTATATTACATCCCATTACGGCCTACCAAACATATCCTAAATATGCATACACGAAATTGAAACAAATCAAAGTTTGATAATGAAGGTGAAGTGATGCTCAAAATGTAATGCAAATGCTGCATTTTATTCGAACATCACGAGCAAAGAAGTTCTTGGATCCAGATAAATGAATCTTCAATGAAGGAACAATTAAATGTCACACAGGTAATGAAAAGCAGGGTTGGGTAAAGTTCCATTGTAAACTTTGGTGGTTACTTGGGTTCCTCAAAAGCACCAACATATAAACATGCAAATGTGAACATCAAAATAAAAAAATAATAGAAAGATGTCATTTAGTTAGCTAGAAATGGAAGTACCCACAGACAAGTTTATTACCCTTAATTGGATTTTTCACCAATCAAGATATTAAATTCATCTTAACTATAACTAATGAAATTTATTAAGGTTCTGCTAATGTATGAATAGTTACAAATTGAAAAATCCCTTAAGCTTCTGCTAATCACACTTGGTTACTTCTTCAAAATCAAACATTTTGGTCCTTCAGATTTATAAAATTCAACATTTCATTCTTTCTATAAACTAAAACAACATGCTTTTCACAACAAAACTACATCATTTTTACATGTTCATAGACAATAAAGTAGTAAGTGTTTAATATTTCAAATGAAGCGCACTAAACTGTGGATCAGGGCAAACCTTAGAGGTATTCTGTAATTTTGCCTTAAAATTATAAGAATAAAACATATTCTAAGACATTGCAAAATAAAAACCATGACTACCATAATTGGAAAAAAAAAAAAGAAAAAAAAAGAAAACATGTTTCATGTATTAACAAATGCAAAGACAAGAAAAATTCACATGGTACAAAGGAATGTCCACGATTAGTATTTCTCGAACAGCCATGTGTTCCTTATTTGCAGACTACAAAAATAGTCACGAGTGTTTGCTATCCATTATCCATTTTGTTTGAGAAATTGATGAACAAAGAGGCATGATCATAGGAAACACATTGCATCAGATCATATGAATTGTTCAGAATTGAACAAGTACTTTTCAATATGTAGATAAAAAGGTTTGAAATAAAAAGTACCAATAAAGCCTTCAAATGAAATAGCTAAAAACAACAATAACACATCTTATATACGACATTTTTATCAATTATCATGTTAGCAGGATTATGGATGGGTCTGAGATAAACCAATAAAATGTTCTCATCTTGTTCTATATATATAGCGTATATTGTCCCAACTACTCTTCCATTTTTTTATTTTTCTGTACAGAATACAATATTTATCTGATTAACATGTTTTCTCCTTTTGATCTTCAGTTTTGATGTCAAGAGTAGTGATGCAAAGAGCGGAAAAATGGCCCTTATCTGGATAATTTCACAGGTGATAAGCAAATGTAATTTCTAAGAATTGACTACAGGGCTGCAACAAGAACACATCTCAACATAAAATGTTCATCTATATTTACTTGCAAATGGATGCAAGTGCATTAAAAGAACTCGGATGTTGGACAACACTACAGGCGTGACTTCATAATTTTCCTGGCATCAGGCATATCATTGCAATAAAGAAGAAAGGCCGACCATAACCACATATAGTTACCTCACAAATGTTATGAAGGAGATAACAAGAGTACAAAGAACTGAATTAAGTCTTTGAATGGCAGCAGCTCAGAACTTCTTTGCAAACGATCCAAATATCTTGGTCAGTTACGCTAAAACCTAGCATCATAGACGATAGTTACAGTGCTACTCAGTAGAAGCTTACAAGAAATGCCACAAACTAGTCACCATTCTGAGCTGCGGGGCTCTTGCTTTTTATCACCTGTTCAAACAAAAATTTGGTTTCATAAAAATCAGCCGTAAAAGAAAAAGGATAGCGAGTCAAACATAAATGACAGACGGTATTCCTTTCAAGGAAAGGTAAAAAAGAGATTCAAAAATAAAACAGCCATTTTATTGGGAGTTACAGAACACAAAAAAGAAAAAGAGAGAGAGAGAGAGCATCTAACCTTGTAAAAATACTTCTTGCGAAGTTTGATTGCTGTGCGTATACATCTTCTGACATGGATCTTTGGCAGTTTATCATTGAAAACCTACAACGATTTGAACATACAATGGTCATGAAATTCAGCTTCAACACCATTCTAGTTGAAGCTAGCAATATGGATCATTCCCTCAATTATAGACAATTAGGGTGGAGAGTTACAAAAACAATAAATTAAATGACACACACACAGAGACAGAGAGAGAGTTATCAGGTAACTCAAGATTGTTTGAATACTGCATCCGTTGACATGGATTCATTTGACTTCTGATGTGAGATCATATGCTCCAAACTATGCTACTCGGCAATCTTAACCCTAATATATAACAGATCAATAATATATTATGACAGATATTGCAAAGCCTTTGATGTGCTATTGCTGAGACTCAAGTAGAGCAAAACTGCCCATTTTTAAGCCTTTTTCAGATTTTTTATTTTCAAGACACATACAAACATTGTACCTCACTACACATTTAGAACCAAAAAGCATGTTGTTCCAACTTGTCATACAGTACGTCATCAGAGACACTGGCAAGTAAAAGTATATTGACAAAAGAGCACACCCTGCTTAAATTATCTAGATTTAGCAAGTATAGAAGTACTTAAGATTAATGCACCTGCCTTAATCATATCATCAATTGAACGAGTCTCTTTGATGATTTTATGACGGTTCATGATAAGAATTGCTGCCACACAGAAGACTGGTAATTCATCATCCCCATTTTTAGTTGATGAGACCATAGTGCTAATCTGCATGTGGTCACTTCTTGACCAAAAGTTCCTCGTCAAACCACAAAAAGGATGAGATGCTGACTTCACTGCAGGGTCCTCAGAAATGGAATGCTCAATATTTCCATGCTTCATTTGTGAACCATTAGTTGAACTACCATTAATATTTTCTGTGTTTCCTTCTCTCATTTCCCCTCTAGAATCATTTGGTAGATATAGCACCAGTGCCTCCAGGCAGTTCTCCTCTAAATCACAGACCAAGGATTCATCGAAATCAGCAGCCCACATCATCTGTATTAAAGATGATCTCACAAAAGTCAGATCTAGTATAGCTGACTCTGATAATGGAGAAAATTATGATTTATCATCATTTCACGATGCTCCCAATCTTCATAGACTATTTTAAGCAACCATGCTCATCAAAATACAATACTAGGAAACACATCTCTTGATCACCAACAAAACACACATTACAGCTGGGAAACAAAGAGATCAACAAATACCTATCAGTTACATTTACAATTGTCTTTCAACAATGCTGAATGAAATTCGAGGTACTATACCTACAATTCTTCAAAAGACATTACCTCTTAGCAAAAATCTGACGCATGTAAAAAATAGCAACTCTACCCTCTGCTCTTTCAATTTTATTTACAAAAGGTTACAGCATTGGATATATAACTTAAGCATGACCATAATTCATCATTTAGCAAGAGGATTTGGGTGTACCTTAATGACAGGATTCCAAATTGTGTCCAACCTACTCTAACACAAGATGATCATGTTATATCATTGGTCAACCAGTCAACTTGAAAAAGGCATTATTATGACTTGAAAATTGTATCAAGTTGGTACAACTATAACCCCCTAATGACATTTAATAAAATACCAATTATAGCGGAGAATGCATATTCTGCGATTAAATTCAATTTGACTTTTGGATGCAAAGGATAAATTTGTCACACTAGAAAATAAAGAAGAAAAGAACATTTAAAAACTATATATATATATATATATATAAATAAAACTGCATGGTGTCATATTAAATGGGTCATAGCATTTTGAAAGTTGACATGTTAAACAGATCAAATATCTCATTCATGTTATTTGTAAGCTTTGTATTTTTGTTCATGGATTTCGGCATTTTATCTATAGATTTTGCATGCTGTTATGCTGGAATGCGCATGACATGAGTGACATGATAAAATGAATTGCCACGGCTGGTTGCCTACCACTAATATATATTCTAGGATTCATCCTATAGCTGGCCGTTAGTTTGTACAGCCACAGAACAATACATTGACATTACTGGAAGTTAGCTTCAAATCATGTCCGTCCTTATTTCCCATTTATTTTATAAATACCTGATCACTGGACTACAATTACAAAACCAAAAAATTCAACAAACAACACAAACCCCACCCCCCCCCCACCCCCAAAAAAAAAAAAAAAAAAAAATTCCCATCATGATAAAAATATTTATCCTCATTTAGAATGAAAAAAAAAAAAAAAAAAAAAAATCCCATCATGATAAAATATTTATCCTCATTTGAGAAATGGGGTTTCCTCTAGGTTAAGTCAGCAAATCAGAACAAAATAGCTCTATCTCCAAAGAAATTTTTACAGAAGGATGAAGAAAATTAAATGGCACATGAGTTTAGAACGCAAATCTGTCTGATAAGAAGGTAGACAAACAATATTCACATTCTCAGAAGAGACAAACAGCTTTGAAGAGAGTTGTCCAACAATCTCATCAGATTCAAAAAGGATATGAAATCTACTTATTGCTCCAAACAAGATCTTAAGACAATAATAGGTAAATAACAATGAAACCAACACTATAACTAATTTTTTATGAAGAGTATGAAAAAAGACTACAAACCTCCCACATCCGAAGAGCCTCATTAAAAGATAACTCCCTACGGAAAAGAACCATCAGCATTCGGAAAGCAAAATGGAGGCTTTCAGCACCTATACGTGACAAGTGTGCAAATATTTCCCTATCTGTCAGTTCCAAGATGTGCCACAGTGCTTGCAACTGCTTCATCACTCCAGTTGGTCCTTCCATCCGAAAATTCTCACGCTGAAGAGGTATAAAAGCATTTGTTATAGAAAAGCAAATGCTATCAATTTAAACAGTTAGATTAGCTTAGTAATACCATTCTCCTCAAAAGCATCTCAAAGCACCAAAATGCATCAGCATCATCCTCAAAGAGCACAACAAAAGGAGACAGCAAATCGCTCATACCTAAAAACCCAGAAATCCAAAGAAATCAGAGAACTTCTAGGTTTGAAACTTTCAGGCGCAGAATTCAATAATCCAAAATTTTTGCATTAAATATTTTTCTATAAAAATGATTACATAATATGAGGGATTCATCCAGAAAAAAAAAAAAGAAAAAAGAAAAAAAAAAGCCACGCTACAACCTTGACAGTAACCGGTGGCAGGATCGACCCATGCATAGACAGCAAGGATATCAGACATCCTGGCTAAATTTTTCTTATTCTCATAGAATTCAAGATGACTATCTGTTCGCACCACATCAACAACTGAAAAACAAGGGATGTTAGCCACTCAGAAGAACAGCAATGGAAGATATTCATGGCACAGATTCATTGCCTTTCCAATACATGAAATAACAAATGCACAACCAAGTTACCTATTCGGTGCAAAGTCCAAAGCCATTCAGAGATTCTGTCTTCACTGTTAGCTCCTCCTTGAGTTGCTGCATTTAAAAATGGTGTTTCTAGCACATCTGATATTCTTAATATGTTCGCTAGTTCTTTTTCATAATTCTGATTATTGGACCGTAATACCCTTTTGTTATCGTCATTACGAATTATTTCAATTTCAGAGTTGTTGTGATGTGAAACATTGTTAGATGGTGAACCATCTGATTCCATAATTAACTCTATGTTGTTATTAATTTGAAAACTGTGCATTCTGTCACCTTTAGATCTTAATTTTTTTTGTGTTGAAGGTTCAGTGTCATGTTCACTACATGCTTCCTTATCTTCTCCTTTCCGTTCAAATAAATCTGTGACAGGTAAAGGAGGAAAATCAAAAAAACTCTCTGCTACATATTGTGATCCATTTGCTTCACCCCCTCTTTCAGGGGAACCACTATTGTAAGGGCCAGAAGTAGGTAAAAAAAAAGATGAGTCATATGCCACGCTGTCTGTGCTTCCCCTCATACTGAGAAGCTCACCAGAATCAGTAGAACTTTCTCTTTCACATGCACAAGATGTTTCTGTACAATTATTGTTCCAATCACTATAATTCTGAAATTTGTTAGTAGTATGAACAGAAGCTTGTCCATTTCTGACTTTAGCTTCTCCTCTTTCTTCATCCTTGGATGACGTTCTCATATCCATAACCTTGGACCCCACAACATATGCAAGTACACCAGTTCCTACACTTGAATGCATCACCTGACATTGCTTGATCAGGTCGTTGTAGCGCTCCCTGCATGAATAGTTTCATAAAACTCTTTCATAATAACATAACTATAGAATTTCACAATAATGTAGAGATAAAAAGGTTAATTGGTCCAAATAGTTCAAATTAAAGTGGCCTAACCCATGAAAATGTCTATGATGTCATATGACAGTCATACAAAGTATCAGAAACTGCAAAAAGCAATCACAAAATGGAAAGGCAAAGTCTTTCGGGCTCAGCTTTCGGATAAGGCAGCCCATGCAGTTCTTGTGTTTCTATCTCCATTTTTCCAGGACCCAAGATTTCTGTCTCATAGGAAACTCCTCAAGCTTTACCACTTTATAAGTGGAAAATGAATTAAACTCCTCTTTTGCCTGACACTCGTCTCCTCCCTTCTGGCCATTGAAAGCATTCCAGTTCCAGCTTCTTCTTAGGATTCATTTGAAAGAGCACTTCCCTAATTTAATGCCATGCCCTTAGTCCTAATCTCCTAATGCCCATACTCCAACAGCTAAATCAATGACATCACTTATTTTATCCCCTCAAGTACTTTCTAATATATATCTTTACTACAAATATTCATAAGATTCTTGCTTCCTATTATTGTCGGTCTAAAACTTATTAGTTTGGAATTCCTAATCCAAAAACCTATGTAATTAATTAATATTTTAGGTTTCTAATAACGGAATTGTGTTGGTTTGGAAGGTCTGTGCGCCTAATTTTCTATTTCTTCTTTTTTCCCTTCTCCTTTCCAAGTTGCTACTCGTTTTTGTTTCCCTGCTGCTACAGTACTCGGGTACCATTCAAGGCCCTAGGAAGCCTCCAAGTTCTTTTATTTTGTCACTCTTACCAGCTCAAATTCAGTTCCTAACATAAACTTCTTTGTTCTTCAATTCTGGACCCAGAAACTCATCCATTGCTTGAGAGTTTCCAACCACTGAAGTATTAATGGCTGGTGAGTCAACCTGTCCAACCTCAATTGTTTTCTGAAGAAGTCATGCATAAATATACAACTGTGGTTCATGTGTGGTATATCTAAATACCTCCCTAAGGATACACTGGCTTGTCAAACAATGTCTGGGTGAGATCAAAATTCAAAGTAAAAGATCATAGTAACTCTACTTGAATGGAACTGCTTCTTTATGGAAGGGCAAGTATAGTTCCATAAAGGCGGAGCTCATGGGCAATTCTCGTCTCTGCCCCTTTATCATGGAAAACCCAAGTCATTTTGTAGTATGACAAATTATTGGGAAGATATGTACCTTAACATAACTACAATTCTAGGCATCCATAAAAAGCATAAGAAAATGAATAAGAACTCAATATTGGACAATGCAGATAATACAAAGAACTGCAACAGATGCAATCCATATTTTAGGAAATGGGATAGCACTTTACCAGGATATATTTGATTTACAAAGACTATTCAATTAGTTAGATTCGAGCTAAGCAGCTAAAGACAAATGCACTTAAAGGAAAGTTTATTAGGAAAAGAATTGAAAATAAAAAGCTTAGACCTCCGGGCTCTCCTCAGCTGCTTTCGGTACTCAGCAGTGCTGCCTAGTGCATAACAACCGAGTAGAAATTCCCAAACTTCTGCCCTGATAGATGGATCCACCCCCTATCATAGCAGCAAATATAGTCATTACAGTTATATGATATGGGAGTTAGATGAACAAATGCAGCCTATTTTCCTCCTCATAGACATAGTTCAAGTCCTAATCGAGACCCAAGCTTGCGTTGGAGAGGACTTATGCACAGTTATTATGTTCAGCCATTACATTGGCACAAAACTCAAATTTGAAGTTTTAAAAACAAAATCTGTGGTTTAGTGCTTTTTCACTTGGGGGGCAGTATTTTTTATTTATTTATTTTCTATAATTTTCATGAATGTAGTTCTCATATGCTATCATCTTAATACCAGTTTCAACTAAAATCATTAAAACGGTACTCATGCAGTGTTCATATGATATAATAGAACAATGAAATTTGAATATTATACTATGTGATAGCACAGCTACAGAGATGACAACATGACATGACTCAATATCAGGTTAGCAATTCCTTTTATTTAAAAGAACAAAATAATACAGCATGACATTACAAAATACAAGGTTCTTATAGAAACAAATTGTATGCTATATAAATTTTATTCTCCTAGTATCATACCAATATTGTTAGGGAAAGAAATTGACTTAGTATGATGAGTTATTTCACACCATGCATAAAATTGATTAATATTAGTCAAAATCACAAGAAAGAGATAATCAATGAAAACATAGGTACTGAACTGATTAAAGTGAGATAACCTGCAAAGGAAAGTGCTAAACCAAAGGGTCTGTCTTCTGACATTTCCCTAGTGTACTTGATAATAGAGATTTCAAAATGCAAACCAGGCTATTGACAATTTAAATTTAAATAAAAAACATCACAGTTGCCTCCTTGTTCATGGTGACAAGCATATTGATTAGGATAACAGATCAACAGTATTGATTCAGAATGTCAATTTTCAGGTGGGAAATAATGAAGAAAAGGCATAGCTTAATGTGAGGCTGATTTTTTTTTCTTTTTTCTAACCCAGGACAGGGAAAAAAAATCCCAGAAATATTTGCAGCGGCGGAGGGTTGGGGGGGGGGGTGGGGGGGGAAGGGGGGGGGGGGGGGGGGGGGGGGAGAGATTTCCTTTCTCTTGGCCCCATGCAATTTTGATATATGAAAAGAGGCAATAAATGGCATTAAATAACAAAAACACTTCTACTGTCTATGCAAAAAGATAGCAAGCTTCCAATCAATGGTAGATTAAACATCAAACTGGCTCCAAGAATTCTTTAAAAACCTCATTGGTAGATAAAACATCAAAGTAGCTGCAAGAATTCTTTAAAACATCTAGTAATAGGCATTGTTTATGCCACTTGATTATCTTCCCCATGACTCACTTAAACACAATTTCCATAAACTTCCCTATAAAAAAATTGAGCCAAACACAATTGTTAATTCATTACGACTAGAAGAACCCTAAAGTCCACGAATGAAATCACTATCGTATTGATAGCGTAATCCTAGCACTGTATTAGGCTAATAATAAGTAATGACTAACTCAAAAGAAAAACATCCACATCAAACGTTGAAAAGATGCTGAAATTTAAATCAGACTGGAATTGCTTAGAAATCAAAATTTAATGAGATGCTTCTTAAATGACTTTAAGTAGGATGACACTGATTGCTTATTGGAATCGAGTCCTCATGCTAAACAATTAAGAAAGAGGAGAACATTAAGATACTAATATATTATTGTAGAAACATCCAGCCCACCCTTCCCCTCAGCAAACAGAAATACCCATTTCTCTCTCTCAATACAGTTCCAACTGTAACTGCACCAGTTGGAAAACAATAAGCCTTTACAGGAAAGAACAGGTGAAATATAGAAATGCACTAATAGCACAAGTCAATCAGCTGGGAATGAGTCTGGGATATATGAAAATGCCAAAATGGTTAAACAACATACCCCCAAAACAATCAACTTGAGTGCTTTCTGAAAACCAAAAACTTTCCCATCACTGTTAAAAGTAGCCTGCCACTTGTCTGGTTTAAGCATTCTGCTTACCTGCCTCATCATAGAATCACATGTGAGAATTTTAACAAACAAATGAGAAAATTGGTCATCAATAAATTTAAACTTGAAAAAAAATAAAAAGAGAGGGAGAGGCAGCAACTCCATCCAAATTCAGCAAGTCCCTGTACAAACAGAGTGCCTTTCAAACTCCAGAAACATAATTTAGAACTCTAGATGTATGATAAAAATGACCACTCTGTCACCTCTAAGTTCAAGCATGAAGTGTCCACTAGAATCATTTTACTACAAAAGGATCAGGAAATATCCTAATTCCTACCAATACAGAAATAAAACAACTTTCAGCAATTTCTCACTTACTTTATGATCTAAGCTATCCTTACTCCTATGCTTAACATCATCTTGTTTCTCCTATTGTCCACAGCTCTCAATTTTGGCAGAATAGAATACGTAAACTCTCAGCCTCCTGATTGAACCACCAGTACTCGTGTGTGTGTTTGGTAGGGGCAGGGTCAGGGGGGCAATTGGCTATGTCTTTTCATAGCTGATAGGACTTCCCTTACTACTTTCTACTTTTGCAAGAGTCGCAATCCAAGATGTTTATGCAACCCAGTGCATCCAAACAACATATATATGGGTTCCTGTAGAACTCACTACTCAAAGTCTAATATCATTCCCAACCCTCTAAAAAGAAAATTTTCAGAAAAGAAGAAGAAAGAAACAGTGACAAATTTGGATCAATAATTATAATAATAATGTATATAAACATAAAAAATGAGAGAATCCATGAAATTAAAATGTTAATGAGAGAGTCTTACAGCTATAACAACCTTTATAGGCGATTGGGAAAGACAGGGCTCCCCAATTTCGCGTACTATTGAACCAACTCTCTGCAAACTCACTGTTCCAGCTTTTGGACAACTCCATTGCTTCTCCTCTTCTCCACAAGACATTTACAGTTCACACAAGCGCGCGCACACTCCCTCTATCTCTTTCTCACCCCCACTAATTTAATCTTTCCTTGTCATAATCAACCAAAGAAACTCAATTTCAGAAACAAAACAGCTGCAAAAAAATAAATAAATAAATAAAAATAAAGACCAACATTTGATTGCAAAATCACGAATCATCAGCAACGATATATACAAAGCAAGCACAAGAAGCATTACATTGCCGTGAAATCAAAAACTGTTAATAACAACCCTAATAATCTAACCAGAGGAATTGAAAATATATATAATTTCCGATAATAAGTTACAGAATCAAACTCATTTCAGCAGATAAAATCAACTAGAAAAAGCAACAAAACACTCACGTCCATTAAGACTATAGACATGAAATTGATAATGACAATTAGAAGATGATCAGATGATTGATCTAAACACAACACATATATGCATGTATAAATATAGAGAGAGAGTACCAGAAGACAATGGAGAAGAAGACAACGAGATCTCTGAAAATGGGAGACGAAGAAGATTGGAAAAGGAGGAGCTTCTCCTCCGTCGCCATTAATAAATTTGTATAACAAAGGACCGTTTCTTCTCTCTTTTCTCTCTTCGCTCTCCTGAAATTTTTTCTTTTTTTTTTTTTTTTTTTTTTATAAATTTGCTTATAACTAAAGTGACCGTATTCTTCTTCTTTCTCTCTTCCTTCTCCTTAATTTTTCTTTTTTTTTTTTTTTTTAAATTTTTTTTTTTTTTTTTTTTTTTTTGTTTGGTTTTTTTATTGTTTTGAGCAACTATTAGCAGTTAATTAATTAATAACTAAATTAATAGTAAGATTTTAAGCTGAAAATATATATTTTTAAATTAAAAATTGTTCTATTTACGTGACGTCAAACTCTGAAATTAGTCGAAATTGATGTAATTAATTATAATCTATAGCGATATAATATTATTATTACTACTATGAAACCTTTTTATGAATAAAAAATTTTTATTTTACTCTGAAATAAAATTTTTTTATTTCAAAAAAAAAAAAAAACGGTTTATTCAAAAAAGATAAATTTGTTCTTATTCCAACAAGACAAGATACGTTTGGTTAGGAGAAGTGGAGAACTGCGCCTGTCCCAAGCAACGAACAAAATGAAATAAAATAATTTAAATAAATATAAAATAATTTAAATAAATATAAAATAATTTAAATAGTCATTTTATAAAACATTATATGATGATAATATAAATAAACGTTAAGTTATATATTTGTATCAAGAAAGAGATCGATTGGTACAACTAATATATTTTATAAAACATTATGATGGAGAAAAATAATGAAATCCATTTCATTTCTATAAATTTTATAATCCAATTGTGTAGTTTATAAATGATTTTTATAAAATTATATTTAATTAAAATATTTTGTGAGCAAATATAATAACAAGAATTTCCTTTATTTTTCAAATTCATAATTAAAATTAATCACGTTTTCTTAAAACTAAGATAAAATAATATGGGATTGCGATTACGATAGTCACAGATTTTTTCTGCTATGGGATTGATAGTATTTTTTTTCACTTAGCACACCACAAATCACAAATTAGTAGGTATTTTTGGTTCAGCGGATTTTTTTTTTTATATACCTTTTGAGACTTTTTTTTTTTACGATTTATTAGGTTTCTTTTAATAGTTCTCAACGTATTATTTAAAAAAAATAAATGATAAACTGAAAAGAAATATTCTCCTGTATTTCAATTTTTTTTATCTTTAAATTATTGAAGTACATAAACATTCTAAATTTAAGAAATATTCTTTTTTATTTTCATAATTAAATTAATCAAATAAAATATTTTTAAAACTATTTTTTGTATACAAGTTATTTTGGTAGTTATAGTTTGGTTTTTGGCACTTTTGAGTCGAAAAAACCAATCGAAATATTTTTTTTTTTCCATTGTTGTTGACCATTTCTTGTAGTCCTATAGTTCAAGTTTTTATTTGTTTATTTATTTATTTTTGCTATTAAAATTAAAAGTCAAACCAAGATTTGGACTCTTTTATATATTTATTTCTTTAATGATTATTTAACATACTAATTAGGTGATTAATTTAACATACTAATTAAGCGATTAAATATATAAAATTTGAACAATAAAACTTTTGTGTTTAAACTAGTGATAAAAAATGAAGTTTTAGAATTTAATAATCTTTTGTCTATTTTGACTTTATTTTTTAACAACTTTGTGTCTGGATTAACAAAGAGATTATATCTTTAGACGAATTTTATCTATAAAAATTTAATATATATTTTTAGACGAATTTTATCTATAAAGTTAAAAATTTAATATTTAATATTATATATATATATTTAAATGAAATGATTAAGAATAGAAAGGTTTTAATTTTGAAGTTTTAAAAATTTTTTTTGTCCACATGAACTTCTTTTCACGTAAAGTTTAAATAAAGTTATTTATTTATTTTATTATAATATTGTAATCATGTTGATTGTTGCAAACGGTTGCTTTATGAATATTTTAATATACAAAGCAGAGGTTGGTATACTTTCCTTGCTAGGATTTTCAACTTTATTGTAATAACTACTTTAGTTTTTTTTTTTTTTTTTTTTTTTTTTTTGGGCGGGGTAAAAACTAGTGTATGGAAAACATTTTGGTGCTGACTTGCCTATAATGTTTTTGAAATGTAATATTACCTTTTTTAATAATGCGTAGTTAACCATAAAACTTGCCAATTGTGAATCTTTGGTCATATTGTTGATGACAAAAAATTTTTTTTTTTTTTTTTTTTTTTTTTTGGGGGGGGTAAAAACTAGTTTGGAAAATTTGGTGCTGACTTGCCTATAATGTTTGAAATGTAATCATTACCCTTTTTATAATGGTAGTTAACCATAAAACTTTCCAATTGTGAATCAATTTGTGCATATGTGATGACAAAAATGAAATTGATAGAAAAATACCAATCCAAAGTCTCCTAACAAAGTCTCCTAACAAAGAAAAAAACCACTAATTTATCAATCAGATATGGTCTAATTTTCCTTCCGTCTTGTAGAATAAACACGGCACGAAAGCGCATCTGATTTTCCCTTCTGTCTTGTAGAACAAATAGAGCGTTGAATAATCTCGATTCCAAATCCCTAATTCTAAAATGTGTAATGTCATAATCACTTTCTTTTGTCACTTTATCCCAAATTAAAATCCTATTTATTCAAAGTGGTCCCATTCAAATTGAAAACCAAACTTGCACTTATTCTCTTATGTTTCCTTTTTTATTTAAGAAAAAAGAAAGAAAAATACCTAAATACTACTATTAAAAGAATGCTGCCTGCACAAGCAGCTACCACAATCATGATAATATTGCAATTTTGCAGGTAAAACAAACAAATTCAAAAATAAAGGCAAGCAACCAAACTCATTTATGCTTGTAAGACATTCAAAAGTTAATCATATTTAGTGGGATTAAGCTTAAACCCAAATTACCAGTCAACGACTGTTCAAGAATTAAGATTTACTCTGCTGTAGCAATTCCCAAGCTTAAAATTGTGTACACAAAACACAGTCAATAATCAAAAAACAAGCTAGCATTTTTTTTTTCTGAGAATAATTTTAACAAAAGTGCAAGAATATTTTTGTAAGCAATGGTTAACACCACTATAGACAAACAAATTGCCAACATAAGTTTAGAACTTTAGGTTAAGACAAAAAAAATGGAGAATATAGCACAAGTATAAAAATTGCTGATAATATTTAACTGTCCAATACAAAATTTGATCTGGTTTGCTTTCTCGAGTGAACTGCAGCGCAATGCTAATTGCTAAACTCTAATCTTCAAATCATGTGATGCGCCAAACAAATTGTTGTTTCAGAACCTATCTGGCACTCAGTTCAACTCAATCACCAACAATGTCGAAGGGAACACACAACCAATTCAGATTATTTTTGTGATATCGATCACTCTACAAATGGGGCAAGGGGAAGCCAATTATCGTATCCTGCAAAACAAAAAGCAAAATGCCAAAACTAGAAAACTATTTACCACAAAACAATTCCTTTATTGCTATTATAACCAGTAACTCATGGACCATGAAGCTCATTCTAACAATCAAGAACATGAAACAGCTGTAAGTATATATAACATGGAAGCCAAAATCACAATTACATGTTTTAAGCCTTTAATATTAATTGTAAACAAACAGGAAAGGACTTGTAATGGCTGGCTATGACTATAATCTGCCATCTAACACCTAATATCCAACCACACAATTTTCCTTAATAAAGGCACTCACACTTGCGCAATCCTCTCTGGAAATATTTGAGTCACTGACAAAATTAAAACGAGAGGAAACAAAACCACTTGCTTCTATGAGAAAAAACTAAAAGGCAGTGGAAGGATTTTTGGAAATAAAATCATCATCTTCCATTAAACAAATTAAACCAACATGAAGTCTTGCAATTTCTTTAACTTTGAAGTCACTAAGATACAGGAGCTTTGGAAAGTAACAGCAATACAAAAGCTAAATAAAAAAATTTGCTCAAGAAATTGCCCACAGACATAACCTCCATAGTCCATACCAACAAACTAACAAACTTGGATTACAAAGGGGTTATGCAAGATAGGAACTAGGATGAACATATAAACCTTGCCTTTAACATGAGAACATATATGTAACAACTATTTGTACATTTTCTTAATCTAAAACCCAAGTGAACAACAATGCAAAAATTATGTCAATACCTGACTCTGAAATTAGCTAAAAATGTGAAATACCTCTCAGTTATGCATTTTGCTGGACTTGTCGATGTATTTGCAGCATCCAATCAGTATAACCATTTGTACCACCATTTTGATCCTCAAGAAGGTTCATGAGGAGAAGGAAGCCTTCTCTGGGCTGTTCACCTTGTCTTACAAGGTGGCAAAGTTGATAATATGAAGGATCATTCTCTCTTAATTTCTTAAGCATCTCCATTAATTTTCTTGACATTTCGGTATCATGTTTACCAAGTGTAACCTGATTAATTCATCAACATAAGTTAATTACAGCCTTCTAACAAAACAGCAAGGACAGCAAACGTCAACAGCTGGGAGAAAACACTGAAAACAAATTATCCTAGAAATAATATCCATGAATGGGATCTCTGCTCAAGATATGAAAATAAAATCATTGGTGACCAAGCAAATGAAATTTAATCAAAACTCCATTCATTACATAGATAATGCACAATGTTGAATGGTTTCATTTGAAGTTTTTCTTTTACAGTTCAAATATCAAAATAACTATAATAAACACCATCTTCAATATTTAACAGAGAAATAAAAACATACATGAGATGACACTCCATGCTAGCTCAATTTTGATAGTTGAGCTCATCAAGAGACACACATTTTGAGAAATCAATGCCTAGAATGTTGTTTATATCAAGGTCATGTTATATCTACATATAAGTATTGAAAAATAACACTGGTAATTAGTGGCTTAACACAATATGATGCTTGAATGGGAAGGGGTAAAAAAGACAAATTATTGATGTCCTTTTCAATATGGCAAAATAACAGATTACTTGTGCTTGCCTTTTCTTTCTTATCCTCGTATTGAAGGCTAAATTCTGTTCCACACAAACACAAAAGCATGCTTCAAATGATGCAGAAATGAGACCAAGCTTCCGATGCTCTAAAACAACACAATAACGCACCTTTGATAACTCAGCCGCAGCATCTGGCCCAAGTAGATTCATAGCTATATCCGGTGAAAGCATTCTACCAAACCATAAAACAAATCGAAAACCATCATCATATATATAAAGGCCTCTAGAATCTAAGCTCTCTGTTGTCAGTGGTAACCTCCTTAAGTTGTTTTTGACATCGTTAGCTTGGGCAAGAGGCTGCACATATGAGATTGAGATGCATCATTAATCTTATACAACATCCAACAACATAATTGTGGGATGAAGGAAAATTCTTTTACCTTCAAAAGTTGATCATCTAGACGAATCAAGCTAGGATATAAAAGTTTCAACAATTTCTTAACAGGTAATGCCATCATTGTAAATCCCGCAGCACAGCGTTCATCAAGCTGAACATCAGCATATCCTCCTCGGAGAGGGGTTGATTTACAAAGTGCTAATCCATACAAAGGCAACAACTTTAGAGACTCTGGATATATCATCCGTCCTCCCAGACGATGCTGCACAGCATAGAGATTTCGGTATTCTCTCAAAGCTTTCACAATTCTTAGCTGTACAGCATTCCGTGCATCTTCCAGCTTATGGGACAATGTTTTTTCAATTGCTGCAAATCATTCCAGTTCATTAAAAACATATTGTTCATGTCAACATCAGTACCACAATCAGAATCAACAAAGGGTCAAGTTTGGACCTACCTAACCTACAAAACACAGAAACAATAGCACCAGTGTCAGCCTGGCTGTACATGTCCCCCAAATTCGAAACCACTGGAGCTGCTGCTGTGTGTACTCTAATACGCCTCTCTCCACATGATGCAGTGTATCTTAAAATGGTCAAGCGTGTTTTTTGAGAGGGAAACAAAAGGCCTAGCAATTTAGACGAAGAAGACAACCATCTAAGTGAAACTAACAGGATAGATTACACAGTCAATAAGGCAAGTAGGGCGAAGAATTTATTCAATGTAAAATACAAAAGCAAACAGGTGAAAGATTCAGATTATTTTAACACTCCTACAGGCATCTCTTTTCTCAACTTTCTGACAGACTAGACAACCAAAAAACAAATGACTCAAATTAAGAAAGAAGAGGAAAATTAGGGTGAAAGACTAGTAGTTCCTTTGGATTCTGACCTACGCATCAGAAACACTTTTTTTTATGGACTTCTTCAAACTAACAAAGAAGCACATCATACACGTATGAGGCTGAGATGTACCATGTTTTTGTATATATATTCACTCATAGTTCACTCAAAGGATACAACAAAGCAACTTGGAAATATACGGTGGGAGTTGTCAACAATGTCTCTTCAAGTGATAATTGCATCGCATATGCTTTGTCACAATCAACAGCTGGAAGTGCTAATAGATCTGTGGACCTTAGCATAAAGTTCCCATGATAAGATGTAAACCGAATCCCTTGAACACAACATAAAAGGGGGTTTATCAGCTATCCATCTATCAAGATAAGAAAGAAAAAAAGCAAGAGAAAAACTGATAATAACAATGATGCTGTGACATGATCAAGTATCCTCTTTTAGATATATGGACGGACCTTTTCCACATCTTATGCGCATGACAGCTTCCCAGGCAGTTTCCCTTGTAAGATCCCTGGCTAATTCATGTCTCAACTTATCTCCATGATTCACTGATTGGAAACTTGGATAATAATAAACTTGTCCTCCAGTATATTTAGCCAGAGTACCTACAAAGAGAGGCATTAACTAATTTATACCAATTATTTACTTGTGCATTCATAAAAGATTTGTAATATACAAATAATCAAGATCAACACAAAGAACTGAAGAAGAAAGCATCGATGATATAGCAATTAAGATTATGCACCACCATTTTCAAACACACTTTCATTATGGTATCAATGAACAGCGTCCCTAAACCTAAGCATAAGGCTCAAGAAATTGTCAAAAAAAAAAAAAAAAAAAAAAAAAAAAGATGGTATCAATGAACAGCGTCCCTTAAACCTAAGCATAAGGCTCAAGAAATTGTCAAAAAAAAAAAAAAAAAAAAAAAAAAAAAAAAAGCAGAAAAAAAAAAAAAAAAAAAAAAAAAAAGCAGAAGAAGAAATGAAGAATGAAAATCAAAAAGCCTCTATTGATAACTTGAAAACTTTTCAGTTCAATATCCCATAAGCAGCATCAGAAAGCGGAGAATAATAAAACCAAGCTAGCAAAAAAAATGCATGAATCATCTTGCCAAGACTCCTTACAGGCCTCATTAGACATTTCAGCAGATATAAATGCCTAAAAGCAAATCTCAAAATTGTCTACATCAAATGTTGAAAACATAGAAAACAAGAACCACGGGTGAGCTTTAATTTTGGTCACATTAAAGGTTTAAGAGAAAATTAAAGTCAATAAACATCATAACAATGACAAAGCACGATTCAAGTAAAGTAATATTGTACCTATAGAAGCTATATCAATGTACTTGTCACTGAATGCATATACATTAACTCCTATCTGGTACTTTGTAAAATCAGCAGCCATTTGCTTATAGAATGGATCCTCTGGCATTCTTAAAATATGTTCTTTATCTGTTCCATAAACACGAAGATCATCCCCACGCAACTTTAAGCGGCCAACACCAAGAGATGGCATCGTATTCTGGAAAATCAGTAATTTTCCACCAAGTTGGCTCTGAAGAAAGAGAGAGAGAAGGAGAGAGGAGTTAGTAGAAAGAAGATGGATGACTAAAAAGAGAAGAACGGCAACAAGTGTATAACTATGATACATTCAGAGAGTAAATACAAAACTATAAATGAATATCTTAAAAAGGAAAAAAGGATATAGTTGAACATCTGAAGAGCCCCTACCCGTTTGAGGCCAAGGATTAGTTCAGTTGTTAGTCCCACCTGAATCTAAAAATTCCCTCAAAGCTAATTTTATTATGGACTCATTAGTTAATGTCGTCCTTACCAACTTGTCTCTCATTCATTATTAAAGCAAATATTTTTCTCAACAAAAAGTTTCAACATTGAGGAAAAAATATCATAATAGAGTTAAAATAAGCATCCAATTACTTTTATCCTTTCGTCCAAAGTTGCAACTAACTGATAGATAAATATTTCAACGGACTTTTTGGATAGGATATTTAACCTAAAAAATTTAATAAAGTGCTAAGTGAAGCAACCAATGAAAAAAACCGTCAGCGCACCATAACCATGAATGCTGCTTTTAAAGCTGGACCAAAAGCAGATTCCACATTCATATTGTCCTGAAACATGGACGGTAAACTATCTAGAAAAGCCTCCACAACGGTTCTCGACTCAGACAAATTAACAAGGAGATCATCAGGCAATGGAACAAATACATCATCCAAATCTGAAACCACCATCATCTGAGGCTGCGTCAATGATGACTGCACCACAACAACAAGAAGAAAAAACACAAATGGTTTAGCTAAATTGTCAGCTATAATGGAGGAATAATACATGAAGCTTCTCAGACAACAAGCTTCAATATAATAATGTCACTTGCCTTCATGTTGTAAAAATGTATTGTGCTGTCATAAGTGATAAACCCAATCTGCGTTCTGGGGAAGCCAGGTAAGTCATCCAAACAAGACTTGATAGTTTGGGCCACAACCTGCACACAGAACTCAAAGGTCAATGTGAGTTACAACTGAAGGTTTGCACACACCTATAAGAGCACACATATACTGCCCTTGTATTAACTCATGCTGGGATTACAATGGAATCAGAAGATCCTACAAAGAAATTAGATTAAAAAAAGTCATAAACTAGGCATCCTAAAATATACCATTTTTGATTCAAGATGGTTGTTGCAATCCTTTTATTTCTCTTCAGCTTTCATTTTGCTGGCAATAATCACACCTAAAACATTACCAAAACTATGTTTTCACTTAAGCCAATACCAAAGATATATCTGCATATATCATTTAATGCATGCCCAAACTGGCAATGCAAATCAAACCTTGCAATAAGAATGTAACCAACACTATCCAAATTCTTGAAACCACCAAACCAAAAATGTAATTGCAGCTGTGTCAGTTGACCAATAATACTGTCACTTTGCAAATCGTACCCTTACTTCATAAATATGCAAGAAACATATATCCAAAACAATTGTCTCATAATTTTAGTTGAATTTAAGCTAAGTTTTATCTGAAAATCTATCCTATAGTTGCAGAAGGTTAAAGGATTTAGTGCAGTCTACTCCTTAGCACAAAGAACTTACCTCAATCATCCCACTTCTAACTGCAGATATCGAAACATCGATGAGAAAGAAATACAATGGTGGCATTGGAGGCCGCACCATATACTCAGTTGGAGCAACAAACTCCACACTACCCTTTGTAAGCTCAGGTCGTTGATCCAAATCAACTCTTCTGCCAGTGGCATCTAAATGAGCAAAATACTCACCAGGAACTGAAAATGAGAGTTAAATTTTGATCAGGAACCATGCTTATAAAAGGCAACAAAACAAACATTCTCATGTTAGAGAGAAAAAGGAAATCACTACTAAAGATATCTAAAAAGACAAGATAAGACCCAATGAAGTTGTAAAGCAGATAAGAAGATAGGTAATTGAAAACACTTTTAAGAGTCCCATATGGACTATAGCCAGTCTCTAACACTTTGGGAGCAAAAGAAGGATGGAAAGAAATTTGAGGACAAGAAAATAGAGCCAAGGGAGAAAAAATAAATTTACCTTCTCTTGTTGGACTATCAGGGGAAAAGAAAGTGGAGGTATTTTAATGTGAATTGTCGTTTTTCTTCTCTTGTTTGGAAAAAAAACAAGAATTGCTTCAAGTATAAAATGGCAACTTAAAAGATTTTCCAGCCCCTTCTTCTCCAAATTGTTTGAGGACCATGAATTCCATTTTCTGTGCTCATATTCCACTCTATTTTCCCCTCGTCTTCGAAACAAATAAAGGAAAATCTATTTTCTGTCCTCTAGTGATACTCGAAAGTTTTGTGAAAAAGAGGACTTAAAGAAAAATGGATTTAATATGTTTCCTCCCCCCAACTTTCAAGCCTTCTAAGCATAGTGTAAAGGATCACATCAAATAAAGGAGACAAGTGGCCAGGTACTAACAGTTCAAAATTGTTAAATTGAATGCATGACACATACCAAGCTAAGGCAGTTTTTTCAAATTCTCAATGTCAAGAATTTATAGCATTTTACGTGCATAAAATTGAAAGCATATACACATCAAACCACATCCTAAACATCATCCAAAGAAAAGCTATTAAATGTGGGTAAAGCGAATAAGCATGAATACTATACAGCTCAAAAACAACTAATAGCTGTGATTACATGAATTGAACATAAAGTGTAGATCCCTCTTTCGCATTTTACAATAAATTGAATGAACTCAAAATCCTTCAACAGAAAATTCAAACAGCATCAAAATGTAAGGAGTCGAACTATGTTATCATTACAACCAATATTCTACCGAACTTTACTCATACAGGTGTTCTCAAGGGCAAATTGTTTTGACACATGCGTAAAATACACACCTAACCAAGGCTACTTAATTGAAAAAGATTTTTTTTTTTTTTTTTTTTTTTTACTTCATACAGGTGTTCTCAAAGGCAAATTGTTTTGACAACATGCGTAAATAACCACACCTAACAAGGCTAACTTAATTGAAAAAGGATGTTTTTTTTTTTTTTTTTTTTTTTTTTTTTTTTTTTTTTTTTTTTTAACCTAACACAATCAAATTGCTTCTCAGATCTACATTCATCAGAAGATGGACTGGACTTACCATCGTTAAGCAGAGAACAGATGTTGCAACGCCACTTCCTTCCAGCATCTGTAAACGTTACAAATGGATTCACATATGTGCGGCATCTTCTACAACGAATAATACCAGTGGAAACAAAATTAAGCACTGGCACCTCCTCCTGAGTATAGAAGAAGAAAAATAAACAACGGAGATGAAAAAGAATTCTTGAATAAATATAATTTGTCCAGATTGCAATTGAGTTCATTAGCTAAGACACTAACCCCATCTGGAGCTTCTGCAAGAGGACAAACAACTGCTCCAAGAGGTAAATGCCACCTAGAAACTAAAGACTGAGAATTTGGTATAGCACTAGTGGTAAGCCGTAGATATCTAGGATCGCAATTCATAGAGTATACATCACCCAATGGAGTTGGCTCCACATCATCATCCAACGGCCTTGGCAATGATTTTGGATCGAGTCCTGGATCAATTGAACCCGGAATAGACCCAATAGAGAGTGAGCTGAAATCTTCTGACAAGGCTTGGATGCCACCGATGGGAGGTGAGGACCCTGGATGTTGGATATGGTCCCTTGAATGTACACCAAAAGGGCCTGCTAATGGCTGGGGCTGGCCAAAGCCTCCTTGGTGAGCAGGAAAATTGGGAGATGGTGTTGGTGCAGGAGGTGCATAACTTCCTTGTTGAGCTTGAAAAGGGGACTGTATTGGGGGAGGTTGTGAAACTGCAGGCAACTGTTTTATATATCCAGGTAAAGGTGGCTGCAAAGTGGCTCTGGCAGGAGGATAAGATGAATCTACTGGAGGAAAAGTGGGCTGAAAATTAGGCCTGGGAGCAAAAAATGATGAATCTAATGAAGATTGAGGAACGTTCACATTTGAAGATGGAGGCCCCATTGGAACTGAAGACACCTGTGGTTGCGGACGAAATGAAGGTTGTGATAATACTTGACCAGCAGGAGGTTGAAATGGAGGTTGCCCAACAGGAGCAGTCCCTCCAGGTGGAGCCTGAGATGCAGAAGGAAATTGTGGAGTTGGGAAACGTTGAAAGGGCCCGACAGTGGGCATATATGATGGTGGAGGAGCAGGTCTAAAGCCAGAGACCTGCGATCCACCAGCAGGCCCAGATGGCATAGAAGGTATTGTAGGTTGAGGAACTCCTGGTGGAGTAGGTCTAAAGCCAGGGACCTCTGATCCAACAACAGGTCCAGATGATGAAAATGGTGTCATAGATGGAGGAGCAGCAGCAAAAGGTGCAGTCGGAGGTGCCGCAGGAAAATTTGGACGACCTGGATTTTCAGTCCCCATGGTTTTCAACAAAGCAACCTCTCCTATGATGTAATCCTATGCTTCCATAACCTGCCAAAGCAACTGATAAGAAAGTTGCAATAATTCAAAAGTGGAAATCACACATCTCAAGGTGATGTTAATAAATTATGTATTAACGAAAATCTATCAAACTTTAGAGATACCAGTGAAGCAATTACCGTATTTCAGGGAATGAATATGCATATGATCAAGTGTCATACAAAACCAGAAGAAATGAACATCATATCATGCACAATCAAAAGCTTTTCAGAGAGCTACCTTGAAATACTATAAGATCAGAAAAGTGGAGTGGGAGTGATTTAAGTAAAGGTGAGTGTATATATATCAGTTGGACTAACCTTGTGGGTGCTCTTTTGGTTTATTGTCTGTAGGAATTGCATGAATGTTTTCTAGAAAATTGGAAATCCTCAAATTTATTGCAATTCCCAAAACTACATTGACAAAAAAAAACGCTCAAAAATAATTCCTAAATCTGTCCAAAGATAAGAAAGTAGCAATTTCCAAAATTACAGTGGAGTAACTAAGTCTACAAAGAGTAAGGGAAAAAAATTCAGTATGAAATTATAGTTGAAATATCCCTAAATTGAAATTGAGAGAATGCTATACAATCCCCAAATGAATTCCACAAATACATTGAATCAATCTTAGGACAAATTAGGCAATCATTCAATAAACTTAACATGCTTAAACAGTCTTGAACTTAATTCCACAAGCTTAACAACTATATTAAAGAAACTTCCAATCAAAGCTGACTTTTCTTATTCTATTCCCTAAGTAATAAACTCACATCCCATAGAACCGCAAATCCAATTACTAAAACTAACGAACAAGAAATCCCTCCAACTTGAAACATAAAATAGCTCAGAATCCTCATCTACTAGTAACGAATCGAAGATATAAGATCAAATTACCTCGAAAAAAAAATGCAAAAATGATTCGAAATTCTTCTGATCGAAGTCTTAAAACTCGAATCTTACGATCTCTATGTGAGTGAGGAAGAAAGAGGTGAGAGAGAAGAAGGGAATGGTGCGATCCGGTTGACGGAAAAAACAAAAAAGGGGTTTACGGGCAGCGGGAGGACGGTGAAGATGGAGTGTGGGTGTGATGATGGGTTATAGATCCGTCAATTGGTGTTTAGATCCGTCAAATAATTTATGTGTTATGGATCCATCGAATAATTGATATATTTGGTTATTTCTGTCTACCTAAAATTGCTGATTGAAATAAGTGTAAAAAGCTATTAATTCGGGTTTATGTTTTTTACAAGTAGTTTATTTGATCTTATATGTATTTAAATTTAAATTTAAATTTAAATAAAATAATTTATAAATGAATTGGTAAAAGATTATAAGAAATTACCTACAAAAACATATGTTTTTTTAGAAATGTAACTCTTTAATAATAATAATATAAGTATCACAAGTAATCATATAGACTAAACATAGTATTTTTAAAAATATAAATATAAATTATTAATTAAAATAATTCATTAAAAATATATGTTAAGGTAAATGCTTTACGGTGTTATATAAATATAAATTATTAATTAAATTTTCTGTTATAATATTTTGATTTAGTTTCCTGATTAAATTTTTTTTAAATATTGATTTAATTTAATTTATTTGATTAAGTGGTTTTTTTTTTTTTTTTTAAAGATTAAGTGGTTTAGTTTAATTTAAAAAATTCAATTTTTTATTTGGTTTGAAATTTGTTTCAGAACCGCACTAAATCAGACCATTCACATCAAATTATGTCTACTATAAGTTGGACTTAGCTGTGAAAGATGAAGATCCCACCCAAAGCTACTAATTTCATTTGGTGTGCCGTACGTAATGTTCTACCTTGTAAGAGGAATTTATGCTCTCGAAAGGTGGATATTCAAGATATTTGCCCTCTTTGTCTTGGACATTCTGAAACTAATCTTCATATTATTGTCAACTGCCCTTTTCCAAGACAGGTTTGGACTCTTTTTCATCTTGGGTTTTGGTGGTATTCCGCTATGTTTTTTGGGGAGTGGTTTCAGCAAACCTCAAATTCCTTGACCTTGGAGCATTTGAGTTATGTTTCTATGGTGCGCTTGGCATTATGGATCACCAGAAATGATATAGTATGGCGTCAAAAAAGCAGGAATCCTGGGGCGATAATTTTGCTAGCTACAGGTGTTTGGCACGCATGGAAGGAAGCTAAGTTTCATGGTTTGGTAGTTCCTTCTCCAGCAAACTCAAATCGTACATGGAGTCCACCCCCGTTTAACTGGATAAAAGTAAACACGGATGCTTCAATTGGAGTGGTTTCTGGTTATGTGGGTATTGGCACAGTAGTTAGGAATTTAGCCTATGAGTTTATTGCTGGCAAAGAGTGGAGATTTTTGGGTTTTTTTAATGCTAAGGTGGCTGAGGTCATAGCCGTGAGAGAAACTTTGAGCTGGATTAAGGATCACGGATGAAATTATATTTTATTGGAAACTGATTCTTAGTCAGTTGCAAATGCCATCAACAATGTTACTATGAATGACTCGTCTGCTTTTGGTTTAATAATTCAGGACGGCAAATCTCTTTTGTCTGAGATACCAGTCGCAAAATATAATTTTGTTTATAAGTCTGCAAATGTGGCTGCCTATACGTTAGCAGTTGGAATACATTTCAAAGTAGGATTGGGGGTTTGGAATTCTGTACACTTCCTGTTCTACTTGATTTCTTGATTTCGTAATAAAATTTTCTCGGTTTAACTTCAAAAAAAAACATCAAATTATCGAACCATTTTAAAATGGGCCCAATCTACAATCCAAAAGATCCAAAATCAAAATGACTTCCTTGTATAACCAAAATAAACCTGACCTAGCCTCAATTCCTTAGGCCCAAAACCCATCAACATAAGAAAAGGGTATCAGCACCCAAGCCCATCAACGACTCAGCTGATTTAATGGAAATATAATTCTTTTTTATAATAAAATTCATGTTAAGTTGCATTGTTTGGGAGGTAAAGTTGAGTGTATTTTTTTATACTTGCAGCAGGTATTGTTCAGGTCTGCGTCCGTTTTAACGGTCCATAATAAATCTGACTAATATTCACTCGACCTTAAAAGCAAAGAGACTAGCTCGGGGAGAGTTTGTGTTGTGAATGATCGAACCAATGACTTAATCTACGGTGATCAAACCCACAAGTGCTCTTTGCCATTGATCTCATCTCTATTCGAGTTAGTCGAGTAATTACTAATAGCCAAGAAATTAATAAAAATATTAAAAGCTACTAATTTCCTTACCTATATGGATCCATGTTTCTTTGTTTATTTATTTATTATTGCTACAACCCACAAGACTGTATAAAGCCCAACTCTTTAGCATATTAGATCATAAAATACCAACAATTAGAATTAAAATTTCTAATATTTATGAATTTTAACTTGATTATTATATTATTATTTTTATCATTCTATATACACTTTAGTAATTTTCTTCTTGCATTTATCACCCATGGTTAAAATATAGGGGGCATTTAGTTATTAAAATTAAACATTTCCCAAAAAAAAAAAAAATCACTTTCTTCAAAAAAAAAAGTAAATTTTCGGAAAATTATTTTTAAAAATATTGAATTATCATATTTGGATGAAAATAAAATAAAATACTTAATAACTAAATTATTGTAATATACAATGTTTCCATTTAAAAAAATATATATTAATGTTATTACATGTTTCCATTTAAAAAAAAAAAATTTTTTTCCTCTCTGTTTTACAAATTTCTTGATGTAATATACAATGTTTCTTTAGCAAATTGCAAAAGTTGTATTAAGATATGCCATGCATTGAGTTTTAGCAAAGTTGTATTATTGTTTTTTATTTTCTCAAATTAAATAATCATAGTCAACCATTATTTTTATTTTTATAATAATAGTCAATTATTTTTTATTTTTATAATAATGATAATAATAATAGTCAATTAGCTTACTTTTTTGTTGTTTACAATGATGATAATTAAGTGCTGAGAATATCTTCATGTATGTCAATTAAACAATTTAATTTTTTTTATTAGTTTATTAAATCAAATGCTTATTTTATATCATAAGAAATGAGGAGTCCAATTGTTAATTAAAAAATAAAAAAAACATACTTAAAAGAAAAATAGTTAATTACCTTAAATTAACTAGTAATTAATTGTTTTTACTTGTCAATTTTCCACTTCACAAGTTGCAAACATAGCCCAATTGCAAAATTGTTTCAATCTCTTAGTTAGTGTCTTCTTTGATAGTGCCATTTATTTTATTTAATTTCAGTATTTTTTTTTTTTAATCTAAAAATTGAGGGGATATAAAAATTGAATTGACTGACTTGACAACCAGGCTGAAAGAGACTCCGTGTTGACGAAAGCTAAACACCACCAATGTACAATCGGACCAACAATCACGCTGTACTGTAAATATATTTAGATTTAATTTTACAAATGAATTTTTTAAAAAATAAAATATTATAAATATTTTATTATTATTATATTTTTATTAGCAGCGAGTATTGAAATACATCGATTTTTAGTTTTCCCGATCACGAGAATTTTTATAATAATTTAAAATTTATTCAGTAAAATTAACAGTTTTACTAGCTGATGATTGTTTTAGCTGTGTTTAGTGTTTGAGTAATTAATGGTTGTTAAATGTCAAAAGCTACCTTAATTTGTAAAATTAGTTCAAACGTTATGTCACCGAATGCTGTAAGTGATAGTTTTTAGATTTAGAATTTCAACTATTTGAATATTGTCTTAGTCAATTAATGGAAGGGTCGCCTCGTAATTTTATTCCGGCGCATTAGTCTTTCACCGAATGAAAAAATTTTATAATTTTACTTTATATTCTAATTATTGAATTACCATATACCCCTTACAACTAATTATTAATTGACAGCTCAGAGCATCACTGCCACAAAGGGGTCCTAGATTAGATGAAATCAATCAAATTCTTTGACACGTACATGACGGGTATAGCTTATTTTTGTCTCAACTGGCATAATTTTATAATTTTAAACATACAATTTTAATATAATACTTTTCAAATATACAAAGTAATATTTCATTCATTATTCCTATTTTAAGGAATAAATATAAAAGTTCTGTATAAAATATTAATTTGAGAAAAAATAATTTCTCTAACATTAATTTTCTACGAGTAAACCAATTAATGTAATTGGGATGAAATAGAAAAACTGTAAATGAAATTTTCTATAGGTGCATCTAAAAGCTAATAAGCAATTGGTTTGTTTGTTATTTTAAATAATTGAGTTTTAGTTTTTAATTTTTTATTCTCAAATAGCATGTGTTTAGCGTATTTAAATAAAATGTACGTATTATATTATATTGCCTGTATATAAGACTATAAATACATTATATTACATTTTATTGTAGTCTGCTAAATATAATATTAGAAAACTATAATAAATATAAATATTAAATAGACATAAATATCAAACTAAGCAAAAATAATTTAGTATTTTAAACTTTTTTTATGCATGTAAGTTGTAGTAAGTTTTTTAAAAATAAATTATTATAAAAAGTTTATTACGTTGTTCTATTTAAAAATTAATTAATTTTTATTCGGTTAACAGATATTTGATTTTTTATATTTTAATTTTTCTTTAATTTTTTTTAAAATATTATGATATATTTATGTAGTTGATGATTTTCTTTAAAAAAAAAAAAAAAAAAAAAAATATTATGATATATTTATGGTATTGATGATTTTCTTTAAAAAAAAAAAAAAAAAAAAGAACTACAATCATTGAATTAAAAAAAAAAAAAAAAAGAACTACATCATTGAATTACTTATTTTGGTGGCAACATATTAAATGACTGCAAAACTGATTCATCAGGAATAAATGTCCAGTTAGTAGTTACATCATTCTACATATTTTCCTACAAAATAATATCTTACTTATGCTTATCAGCTTACGCAACAACTTGTATAAGCCACGTGTCCTTAGATATCTTACCTCGATTACATAGAGCTTTAACTACATGCCACTTGTGCACCGCTCTATGCTATTGCTGACGTGCACAGACAAGCTCTAGTACAATGCGACTCCGTGGACTAAATTTGTTAGGAAAAATTATGATTTATATATGTATTTTTACGTTAACATTGCTCACTAATATTCTAGAAATACGTTATATTTTCTGTATATATTGTCTATTTAGTTTATATTTTTTTTTGAAAATTAATTAATCTATTTGCATATTTAAATAGAAAAAAGTGTAAAAACTTGAGAGAAGAATGTAGTAGCATGATAAAATAAAATATAAGAATAAAAAACTATATATTTTTAAAAAAATTTAATAACAAAATTATATATTTTGATGGAAATAAAAAATAAAATGATAATTGTTCCAAATTTAACCAAAGTCAGCGGTTTGCCAATTTCTAACATGACAGCCTGACTTGGCTGTTGCAACAAATAATATAATATCAAAAATATCTTCAATTTTTTATTTGTGATCTAACAGCTTAAAATAGTATTATGTTACATAAAACGATGGTCTCTCATTAACTCATTAAATTAATAAAAATTATTATGATAGAAATAATTTAAATTCGAAATTTTCTACTCCTCACATTAATAAGAAAATTAACCATATCATACCAAATTAACAGGAAGACCCTTAATTTAATCATGTAAAGTAAAAACAATTCTTCAAACAAGAGAAAATAGCGAAGAATTTTCTTGTTAGGGAATTAGAATAATGAAAATGGACTGCATTCTTAAAGAATTGGACGTAGGGATAATCATAGATCAGAATATGCGAAATTCATATTCGATCCATGAACATTTTTATTTATCTATATCCATATTTGTTTGGCTCGAATTCCAATCAAACTGGATATTATCCTCTTTTTAATTATGTTTTTTTAAAAAATAACAATGATATAATAAAAATCTATATTTTTTATGCTTGAAAACACAAATATTTCTAATACTTATTAGAAATATTGCATGCTAATGCAACTAGAAGAGTTTTTAATAATGTTAAAAAATACAAAAAAATATTAAAGAGTTATAGATGAAATTTAAAATATTAATGAAAAAGAAAAAAAATTTAATAATTTAAAAATATAAAATGATAAAATTACATTGTATCCTATCAAATTTATATCTGCATCGAATTTTATTCTAAATTCATATCTGATTTACTATTAAATAGAACAAAATTTTATATGCTCCATTTGGATCAGACTGAATGTTCAACAGATCGGAACATTTCTTTTTTCTGGCACTGGACATATAAAATTAGAAGGTTTAAAATTTAATATGTCCTTTTATTTAAAAAGTTTCTTTAGACATATCACTCTCAATGTAAAGACAATGATAAATGTAGTAGGGCCCATAAATTTATAATGTTTTCTTTCTCAAGCAGTTATTTCTTTATAAGTTTCAAAAATTATATATATACAATTATTTGGTAATTATTTTTAAAAGGACTCCTGCTAAATATCTCAATTCAAACAGTTTATCTAAATATTATTTTTAAACCGGACCAGGAGGTCGGTTTGAATTAACAAAAAAAAAAAAAAAAAAATAAATATTATTTTTAATACCGGACCAGGGCGGTCGGTTTTGAATTAACAAAAAAAAAAAAAAAATGTTTTTGGCTGGTGAATCATTAAAAAGGAACTTGGGATCTAATCCTTTTCTGTCGATGAGAAAGAGATTCTAAACTTTAAAAAAAAAAAAAAAAAAATGTTTTGCTGGTGGAATCATTAAAAAGGACTTGGGAATCTAATCCCTTTTTTGTCGTGAGAAAAGATTCTAAAACTTTCCAAAGATTCAGTCTTTTTTGCTCAAGTTAGACCAGTCGACGGGGCACCCACTTGCCCCACCACTACTACTATATATTTATATATATTTTGACAGTGCTTAATGACTGTATTGCCCCTTTACATAAGACTTTTTATTTATTTATTATTTAGGGTTGCGTGATCAAATGATAATTTCTTTCTTCTTCTTCTTCTTCGTTTTTTTAATCCTTCTCCTTTTTGTTAATGGAATAATTTAAATCTCCAATAATTTATACACGTACGGATCTAAAAATATAAATATTCCGTTTTAAGTATTAATATACATTCTCTCAAAATAGTAATATATGGAAAATTTATATCGAAATTGGTGGATTACTACATATTTAGAGCTAGGGGTGAACAAATTTCGGTTTTTAACCGAATTTATTTTATTTTAGAAATTCAGTTACCGCTCAATTTAGATATATATAAAACCATTTGATATTTGGTTTTGGTTTGGTTAATGTATATAACTAATTTAATTTATTTTTAAGTCAAAAATAATTAGTTAGGATTGAATAATTAAATCCAAATTGAATTGAACCAAATTAATTTAATTCAATTTGAATCGTTTGCACACCATTGGATTTACTATAATAATATATTCAGATAGATTGAAACTAAGCTAATTTAGTTTAGTTATCGAACACGCGTGTGACGTACCTTTATTTAGAGGGGTCTTACATGTGCCTTTATTTATTTTATTTATCGAACATGTGCCTTTCTTAGATGTCATTTCACCTAAGAAAAAAATAGACAAAATATTAGAAAAAAATCTATTTTTCCACTAAATGGTTTGAGACCAATCAAAATATTGAGTTCTAAATGGAAACGATGGTGTGAATAAAGGCAATAGGCGGCAGTAGGGACGCAAAGTTTGAAGTTTTTGCCTATTTTTGGTGGCTAGACTATGATTCCTGATATGTCTCTTTCAATTGAGGACGATGGGAGGAAGAAATTACAGGACCCAAATAAGTCTATGGCGTGGGAAGAATAATAAGCCAACCTACTTAGTTTCAAATTCAAGAAAATTTAGTTCATTTGCTCTTAGTTAATTTTATCTATAAAATCGAGTATTTTTGCAGCAAAATTAGCTGTTTTAATAGTTATCAGTTGTTTAATTAGTGTTTCATCAAATGTTTAAGAAGTGACGCTTGATAATTCGTTTCCTCAAACTCTAAATTCAATATGAATGCTAGGTTATCGAACACTATAAATTATAAAAATAATATCAAAAAGCTACATGAAAAGTTATTACTAAACAGCACCTAAGAGTTTAAAAGTTAGAATTGCCGGTACATTACAACCAATTACAATTACTTACGACACGTAAGAACAATGAATATAAACGACAAACAATTGTGCAACCCTCGTTAAAAATAAAAAATAAAAAAAATAGTAATATTAAAAAGCAATTGAAAATCTTAAACAAGACTTTTGCTTTTGCATATGTTATAATATTGAAACTTGAAAGAGTACACAATTAGCAATAAGTTTTTTTGACTTCCTCCATTATGCCATTATGAATATGACATGGGAACATCTATCATAAAAGACAGAGAAATTTAGGAAAGAGGGGAAAATTTCTTCCTAAGAAAGAGAAATTAAGGAAATAAATAAAAATAATACCTACTTATAAATATATATTCATATCCGTATTATTCTTGTTAAGGAAAGAAATATATTGTTATTAATTTAGTAATTATGAGAGCTTCCAATTGAGAAAAATTTTGACACATCAGCTTGACATTTAGATAGATATTAGCATTGGAGAATATTTTTCAAAAAGTATTTTTTATTTTCTTGATGTGACAATTAAATAAGAGCAATCTAGGTCTGCATTTGAAAATACTCTAAGAGCAATGGAATTGCCACATCAGAAAAATGGAAAGACTTTTTAAAAAATGCCATCCAATGCTAGTGTTTATTTAGGATGTTAATATGATGTATCAAATAAATAAATAAATAAATACAGTCTACTACAACTCCTAGAGAATCTTTTAAACAATGTGAGCAATTATTTCTCTTTAGTAATTTGTTTCATATTAAATTATGCGTCCAAAGAGAAAAAAAAAAGGATGGAAGATGATTCAAAACCAGTACATTGAAAGAGATTTTTAAAAGTTAATATTTATAAATATATATTCATTCAGATCATCATTTACACCTTTTATTTCATATGATACTTCGACTATAATCCACGTTAGCATTATGCTAAAAGGTAGTCCCAAGGTTTGTGGATCAAGGGCGAAAAAAGAAAAATCATTAATTAATCATTTCTTCTCCTTCTCGTTAATTTAACCTCAATCAGATTATCACCACTTATACCACCCATATAATATTTTTTATTTTATTTTTCAAAAACCAAAATCTTTCTAATTTTGGTAAGCTGGCTCTCACCCTCTCTCTCTCTCTCAGCGAAAATAAACTGTTTGCCATAATTTCTGTATCAAAGAGAAAAAAAACACTCTCTTAACTGTTCAATCTTTTTCCCTTCATAGTAACTTTCACATCTATGTCTCTCTCTGAATTCTCGCTCTAGATTCCTTGGCTTCTTGTACACAAGACAGTAGCAGAGTTTCAAGGAGGTTGAGGAATTTTAGGTAGGTGTTTGTTTATCTGGTTTTCCCTTCGGGTTAGGGTTTTCATTTGGGGATTGTTGTATTTTGTCTCTGTTCCAATTTCCTGGTTCGTATTAACTGAATTTGAATAATAATTTTTTTTCAGATTATGTCAGATAAAATACTTACACGTATAGTAGCTTTTCTGCATAAGGAGACAAATTGGAGATGGGTTTTGTGAGTTGTGTTGTTGATTGAAAGCAGTGGACTTATGTTACGTGAATTGCGCCAGCTTTGGAGACTGCAATATTTTTGGGCGTCATATATCTTTGAGGTCAGTTTTAGAGTTTTTTTTGCTATTTATAGAAAGTTGAGTTGTAATTAGACTGTGATTGTGCCTGTTTATGGTGATTAGTTACTGATAATTTAATATTTTCCATTTATGCTATAAATAGGATTGGAGGGAAATGAGACTTTGTTCTATGAACAGTGTTGATGCTGCAATTTGTTGAGTGGAAGTCAGTATTCTTCATAAAGATTGAAACTTTTTGAGGATTGAGGATGAGATTGAAGGGTATTCAAAAACAAATTAGAGAATACATCAGGGGAGAATTTCTCTGGTTTGTTCTCTAACGTTTTCTGATTTTTTTAACTTAAGCTGGGAGCATTTTTTGGTTAGACAAAACTAAAAATGGAAAACCCCTTCTCATCAAATGAAAAGGGGATTAGTTATTTTGCTTCGCCGAGAGCACAGGCAGATAGTATGGTTCCACCAGATGGTGGGACGAGGAATTCCATTCCGGAGGACGTTTTCAACAATTTTTCGGAATTTATGAATATGGATACATATGCTGGTTGGTGCAATAGTCCATCAGCGGCAGACCAGATGTTTTCCTCCTATGGGTTTTCATCTTTCCAGTCAACACCCTGTGCATCTTTTGATGCATTGAATATTCCAGAACATAATTCTTCAACCTTTCTTGTTGGTGGTGATGCATTTAATGATGCTGGGACTTATTACAGTTGTGGAGACAAAATGGTAATTCAGCAATCAACTTCCCAGTTTGTTTATCCATCAGATTCAGTTGGTGCTGATGATTCAGGTGCGAAACAAAGTGATGGTGCTCATCGGCAAAGATTTATCTCAGATATGGCTGAGATTGCTAAACCAGTTGGGTTGTCACTTGATGAAAAAATGCTAAGAGCATTATCCATGTTGAAAGAAACTGCTGGTGGTGGCATTTTGGCGCAAGTTTGGGTCCCAATAAGGCGTGGAGAACAATATATTTTGTCCACCTTTGAGCAACCTTACTTGCTTGACCAAGCTCTTGCAGGGTATCGTGAAGTGTCGAGGACATATACTTTCTCGGCAGAAATGAAGCCTGACCTTCCACTGGGGCTTCCAGGTCGTGTATTCATATCTAAAGTTCCAGAATGGACTTCAAATGTTATTTATTATAGCAACACGGAGTACTTACGGGTAAAACATGCACTGAATCATAAGGTCCAAGGTTCTATCGCCTTGCCAATCTTTGAACCTTTAGATATGTCCTGCTGTGCTGTACTGGAACTCGTCACAGTTAAGGAGAAACCTGATTTTGATTCAGAGATGGAAAATGTTTGCTATGCGCTCCAGGTTAGTTTTATTTCTCCATATACTTTATTTTAGACGAGTTATTTTCTTTCCTCTCCTTCTCTTTTCTAAATCATGCAACTTATCTTTTATGTGTATATATATATATATATATATATAGCTTGGTTCTCTGAGATTACAAGGAATGGACGAATTATGAAATAGAGGGCTTCTGTTTGTGCTTGATCAAAAACAAGAACCAGTTAGAACCAAGTATGGTGAATTTACTCTTGACAATATGTAATATGTTCACTAAGCTAACAAACAGACCACTTTAATATAAGAAAGACTCCTTAATTGATGAAGCATATGATGACTCTATGTTTAGCTATTTTATATGGGATTTTGTTGTAAACATAGTGAAAGAATGATGAAGATTTGGGATTTTGGAATATTTTACTCTTTATGTTAAAGCTCTGTAATCCTTGTTATTTTTAGATTGGTTGGAATTAAAATTAAATATTATGCTTGCATCCTAGTGGATGGCTTTGTAAGTTGTGTTGGACCAACTGTTTGCAGGCTGTAAATTTAAGAACCACTGCACCTCCTCGACTTCTTACTCAGGTATTTATCAGAACTGTTCAGCTTTTCTCTTGCTTTCCCTCCAAAATTTATGAAAAAAAGGGAGGCATATATTATCAGATTGAAATAAAATGAACACAGAGCAGAAAATGAGATTGTGTTAGTTATTCATACTGCACTACTAAGGGATTTTTTGTCCTTCAGACCCTCTCAAGGAATCAAAGAGCAGCCTTAGCTGAAATAACTGATGTTTTAAGAGCTGTTTGTTATGCACATAGCTTGCCACTTGCTCTAACATGGATTCCTTGCAATTATGCTGAGGAAGCTGTTGATGAAATTGTAAAAGTACGTGTCAAAGATGGTCATTCAAGATCTACTGGAAAATCTGTTCTATGCATTGAGGGTACAGCTTGTTATGTGAATGATAGAGAGATGCAAGGATTTGTGCATGCATGTTTAGAACATTATATTGAGGAAGGACAAGGTATAGCTGGCAAAGCAGTTCAATCGAACCACCCTTTCTTCTTCCCTGATGTGAAGGCATATGACATAACTGAGTACCCACTTGTCCATCATGCACGCAAGTATGGCCTAAATGCTGCAGTTGCAATTAGGCTAAGAAGCACTTACACTGGTGATGATGATTACATATTAGAGTTTTTTCTCCCTGTCAATATAAAGGGGAGCTCCGAACAGCAACTCTTGTTGAACAACCTTTCAAGTACCATGCAGAGAATCTGTAAGAGTCTCAGAACTGTTTCAGATGCAGAGTTAGAAAGGGGAGGAGGTTCTACTGTTGGGTTTCAGAAAGGAACAGTACCATCCTTCTCACCGATGTTGGTTTCAACAAGAAGCTGCCAACCCACAGATACTGTGTCCCACTTAAATTTGGCTGATAGGATAACTTTTGATGCATCGAGTTCCAAAAATGACAGAATGGAATCAGATGGTACTCATGAACAGGTAACTTCTGAAAAAACATTTCTTCCCCTTGTTCTCAGTTAGTTTTAATCTCTAAAAATGAAAGAGCATGTCTTAATATTTATATGCATAAAAAATATCCTTCATAATTCATTTATTTGAATTTTACAGTCATTTTTAACTCTTGCCATTGTATTTATATTATTTATTTACCTATCAGAAGTAAGATGGTCTTTGATTGTGTTCCAATGAAGTTCTTTTTTCCTCTCTCTAGATGATGGATGGACCAAGAAGACAGCCAGAGAAAAAGAGGAGCACATCAGAGAAAAATGTGAGCTTGAGTGTCCTTCAGCAATATTTTTCTGGAAGTCTCAAAGATGCTGCCAAAAGCATTGGTGGTGAGCTTCTTCTCACCTTTCTCATGTTGATGTTGACTATGGAAACAAAAGCAGATATCTGAAATTTTTTTTAATAAACTTCAGTAATTCATGTGTAATCATTTTCCTCCATTTCTTAAAGTTCAGTTCTTGGAATTGGTGAAGTTAAATTATCCTTAGGTCAACCCAAGTGGTGCTAGTAATCAGCAAAGAAGCGACAGTTTTGACCTTCTGCAACTACTTTTAGGCCCATTTGAAAAATATCATTTTGACTGCAATGTGGCATTTTTGCTAATTTATTTAGAAGAATGTGTAGTTTAACTTCTAAATTTCTTACCTTTTCTTTTAGTTTGTCCAACAACGCTGAAAAGGATATGCAGACAGCATGGGATCTCGAGATGGCCATCCCGCAAGATAAATAAGGTGAATCGCTCGTTAAGGAAAATACAAACTGTGCTGGACTCTGTTCAGGGAGTGGAAGGTGGACTAAAATTTGACCCCACCACTGGTGGATTTGTGGCAGCAGGCTCCATCATCCAAGATTCTGATCATCAAAAAAGTTTTGCATTTCATGACAAACAACTTCCTGCTGGAAATTCTGAATCTGCAAATGAAGATGCTGTTTCTGTACCTCCAGCTCCTTGTATTGATGGCGATAATTCTACAGTTAAAGTTGAAGAGGATGAATTCTGTATAGATACATCTAGGGGATTGATGATGAAATCTAGCATTCCTGTGATTGATTATAGTGAAGATTCCAGGTCAGTTGCAACTGATGCTGGAATATGTCAAGAGGCTGGCCTTGGCTGTCGACGTTGGTCTTGTCTGGAGAATTCCTCAGCATTAGCAAAAGGGCGTAAGTGGGGTCTTAACATAGTGAGCATGAAATTGGAGAATTCAGACACCCACATTACGTCTAGAAGCTCCTGTTCTTTGGCTGCTGCAGAGTCGGATACCAAAATTGAGGGTGATAATGGAACTGTGGACCATAACCAGCATACTTGTTCAAGCATGACTGACTCTTCGAATGGCTCTGGTTCGATTATGCATGGCAGTGCGTCAAGCTCACCAAGCTTTGAGGGGGAGAAACAATCTAATGTCATAACAGGATATGAAGATAGTGGACAAAAAATTACTGTAAAAGCCACATATAAAGAAGATACTATTAGATTCAAGTTTGATCCATTCATGGGGTGTTTCCAATTATATGAAGAAGTTGCAAAAAGGTTCAAATTGCAAAACGGAACATTCCAGCTCAAGTATCTTGATGATGAACGAGAATGGGTGATGCTTGTGAGTGACTCTGACTTGCAGGAGTGTGTTGAGATATTGGATTATATTGGGGCACATACTGTGAAGTTCCTTGTTCGTGATACACCTTTGACCATGGGCAGCTCGGGAAGCAGCAATTGCTTTCTGGGAGGAAGCTGATAGCAGTACAGGTGATGCTTAACACACAGGCAGTCTTCGAGCGTATTTCATGTAGTTTGCTAAATTTATATTGTTTCTGGTGTCTGTCTCATAAAAGGAAAGTTGTATTATGAAGGTTAAAAGAGGAGTGTGGAATTGCTATAGTCTCTCAGCAACACACTTCTTCCTTCCAAAATTTTTGCAGAACCAATCACGAAGTAGGATGTGGCCGTTTTTGGGGCTGAGTTTATGGATACTTTTCAAAACAGAAAAGACCAAACAGCTCCCAAGTATAGCTTTGTATAATTGGTGGCTGGATTTCCAGGAAAGGAAGTTAAACGAGGAAATGGTGAGGAAATGATCAGCAGTAAATTTTTAGATGTTAAATGTATAGGTTAGTTTATGCTAGTTCTAGCTAAAAGTAACTGTAGCTGCAGAAATGCTGGAGGTATTATATTTTATGTTGTAGGGTGCCCCAGATATCAGTCTGTACAGTAATTTATATGGGTTCTATATTATTATAAAAAATATAAATTTTGGGAGTTAAAACTCTTCTTTCTCTCCTTTTGTGGTGTTATTTGCTTATTTTTTTATGGCTGCATGGGCAGTCATAAGTGTCAACCACAGTAGTCAGTTGTGGAGTTCAAAAAAAAAAAAATTATGCTTGTAATTGATAAAGTCGTATATTTTCATCAAATTTTAGAAAGAATTCTTTTTTTTTTTTCTTTAAATTATTGTTCATGGATTTCTTATTTTTTATTTTTATTAAAGTTTAATATATTCCAAGACTAAAAATTTTATGAGTCTAATAGTATAATGTTGGAAAATAAAAGTTCAATTAAAAAATAAAAATTTTGAAAAGCTCGAAATAAAATTTTTCTAAAAAATAAATTTATTCGGAAGCAAGGTATAGCTTATTGATAAATTGTTCAAATTTTTATCTAATAATAGGAGAAAAAAAAAAAGTTCAAAAAAAGCGAATACTCTATATTATATATATATATCTAATAATATAAATTTGTTCAAATTTTTTTCGTAATAATAGAAGAAAAAAAAAAAGTTCAAAAAAAGCGAAACTCTATATTATATATATATATCTAATAATCAAGATATATATATATATAATATATTACACAAATTTATTTACTTTGGAGTAATCATGTTTTAGATATCTACCAGAATTTATTTTCTGGCTTCTGCGTGATTAATTATTGATTTCAATGTACCAGAATTGTAATGGTTTTTTTTTTTTTTTTTTTTTTTTTTTTTTGAAGTTTTGTTTCTCTATATTTTATACAAAAAAAAAAAAATAATATATAAAATTAAATATAGAAATAATTGGAAATGTGAAATGTTAAAAAATTTTTTGATTATTAGGCCAAAAGGAAAAAGAAAATTACATAATTACAAAATATTCACATAATGTAAATAAAAAAAATATAGTGCCATTCCTTCAAAAAAATATTTTTTTTAAACAACAAAATTAATTGATAAAATTTATAAATTACTGCTAATAAATTGTGTATAAATTTTTGTTTTCCACTATTTTACATATTATTATTAAAAAGATTTACGCAGAACAGGTCTATGAAGGGTAAAACGCTCTTACCACATTTTAAAGATTTTAAAGAGAAGGTATTAAAATCTGTTACCAAATTTTAAATACAAGGTGGTTCATTACTTAACCATAATTGGCATTTTGGTGTCTGTTATCTATATCACGTAATTAATGTGGTTTCTCTTTAATTCTCATGGGTGAAGGTTCGTCTTCTTCAATTTGTAATTTCAAATTTTTGCTCTTTTGTACCATCTATATTTTTTGAACAATCTTCTCTTATTGTGAATAGAAATCATATACTTGCATTCTGTTGCTTGTTGATCCCTGCCTAATGTTTGATTTGCAGTTCTTAGAATCATATTATATTCTTATGTTTGATTATGATTTTGTGTACGGTTCTAAGTCCTATGTGTTTATCATTCTTTTTTCTTTTTGGCAAAAGAGATTTTCCTTCTTCTGTTTGAATTGAAATGGCAATTTCTTTTATTTGTATTTTCTGTTTTTGGGCATTTTTAAAGAGCGGTTTCTTGTGATTTGTTTTTGCAGACCATTAATGATTTTGTTAAAGGTGTCTTCTTAAGCTGATTAATATGACCTGCCAAGAGGCATTTTCTTAGATAATTACTCAATTCTATCAAGGTTGTCTCTCTTGCTGTGTCTTTTTTTCTTTTTTTCACCTTTTTTTATTCTTAATTCCGTTTGGTGCCTTTTCACTTGGTAATATTTCCTTTCTTGCACATAATAATGTGATCGGACAAATTGCAGCTAACAAACCTCCTCCAAAACCTTGGGAGCGCGCTGGTGTTCCTTCTGGTTCGTCACCTTTCAAACCCCCATCAACTGGCAGCACAAATGATGTAGTTGAGGCTTCAGGAACTGCAAAACCTGCTGAAACTGTTGCAAGTTTAGGCAGGAATGCCATGGTCAATAATAGAACTTCGGTCAGAAGGCCGATTCCTGTAAGACCTTGGGAGTACAACTATGATGCCAGAAATTATGGAGGTAAGTCTTCATTAGCGAATAGAGAAATTATTAGATAGGATGGAGCTATTGGCGTTCATTCTAATTTTTTGGCTATTTTCAGGACTGTATGGTTCATATGGTGGACTTGGGGAAACAACTTATAATGGCTTGTATCAAGGAGGAGGCTTTGGTGGGATTTATGGGCCTGGGATGTACGGTGGTGGAATGTATAATGGCGGTTTTGGAGGCCCAGTCGGTGGTTATCGAATGGGCATGGATGGTCCTTATAGAGCTCATGATCCTAGTGATCCTCATGGTGCACCTTCATCTCCACCAGGATTTTGGATTTCACTTCTTCAAATGGTATGATATAGAAACTTTTCTTTTTTCTTTTTACTTGTTTGCTTTGTTTGTGTGGAGAACTAGTGGAGATTGTTGACGTTCCTTTACTTTTGAGGATGCCAAAATGGTTTAAATTGTTAAAACTTCTTAAAGATAAATAAATCAACAAACTAATATAATATATGACAATATCAACTAAAGATTTTACAATAGTTGGTTCTTGCCATAATGGGAAAGAGATGGAAAAACGTTTGCCAAGTCATGTAAATTTCATGACACAATGTTTTCTATTACAGACATGTTTTTGGCTCTCACTTTCTGTTTGGCATTGTCTGCATTATGACAGATGCAGAGAGTAGTTAACTGTTTTGGACACATATCAATTCTTATAGACCAGCATACTCAAGCCCTTCACACGTTCATGTCTGCTCTTCTTCAGGTATTCTCTTTGTCTTGACTCCTTGCTTCCTGTTTTATACTAGATCAGATTGTAACTGCAATTGTTCTTGCTTCTTTTTTCTTCTCTTTGTCTTGACTCCTTGCTTCCTGTTTTATACTAGATCAGATTGTGACTGCAATTGTTCTTGCTTCTTTTTTCTTCTCTTTTTATCTCATTTTAGTAATTTAACCTCTGAAATCTTCTCCATGATATTTAACTCATCGCCACTGGGCTTAAGATAGATATGGTACAGTGGTGATTCATAGATCCTGAGGTTATTAACTGAATGGTTTTAGCATTTTCTTTTATTTTTCTTTTTCTGTTTTTTGGCCAATTAGTTGCTTGTCGTTCTGGCTTTGGGTCTGCTAGTTTCGGTATGCACAAAATAAGTACATGAAACAAATCTACAAAAGAAGTCTCTTTTCAAAATGTAGAATTTACTGTTGGCAGGATTTCCAGTTGTGTTAAGGAATTATCTATCGAAGCAACATTGGGACATTAATGTAACCTTTGGATTAGAATTCCATGATTTGAATTTGAGGTTTTAGCTCTAAGGTATTTGTCATTTGTGGTATACCTTCTTCAGAGGTTTCCACTCTCCATCCCATTCTTACAAATGCCCATTTAACTAAGACATATTTTTGACTCTGCTATTTCCATATTCACATATATTTGGATAATCATCATTTTATATTATATTGAGGTTGGCTGTTTTTATTACAGTTGTTTGATCTCTCTGGTATGTTGTATGGGGAGCTGGCGAGATTTGTATTTAGGTTGCTGGGCTTCAGAAAAAAGCGGCAAAAGGTTGACCCACCTGGTCCTACAGGACTCTCCCCGCCGGCACCGGAAAATCAGCATCAAAGTGAGGGAACAAAGACATCTCCAAGTAGGACTTGGGACATTGTTTGGGAAAATGATGCCAAGAAATGAAGCAAAGACAGTTACTCGAGCTTGTAAAAATGAAATTTTCTCATTGTTGAGATTAAAAGAAACTCTTGTAAGTTTGTAATACACATCAAATTGCTTATTATTATTATCATCTTGGATGCCAAATTCATTTAATCTTTTTAGTTTTTTCTGATTGCAGTATTTGCATGCCAAAATATGTTTTTGGTTTTCGGGTTTGGTTGATAAAAGTCAAAAGATTTATTTATAAAGTTCTCAACAATATGAACTTGAGACCAATATAGTAAAATAATACTAGTTAAAAGTTCAATATTTTGAAAAAAGTTTTTTCTTGATCGTGAAAGGGGAAAGATAATATGCGTCCGCACAGCTGGTTCTTGTCGTATTGCGACTTGTTAGTAGGCTCAATATTGTCGTTTTAAGAGTTCGATTATGAAAAGGGCAACAGTTCGTTTATAACTTGCGCTGAAGATTAATTGATAATATAATTTTTGTATCCCCACATATTGATATTCCTCCATCTTCTTTGTTTCTCTCCATTTTCCCTCTCTTTCTCATCTTCCAATCACCCAAAGTTACACGGAATCCTTGCAAAATTTCACAAATGAATCAATACAATGTAGAAAAACTGACGTTTGAGATATAATACAACAAAATTTTCCATTGAATTGATTGAATCATGGCAACAATTTGGTTATCTTTTATCTTCAGTCTTCACCTCCATTTTCTTCACTACATATCATTAACCTGAAATATCAAGAAGGCTGCTCTTTGCCGACAAACAAATAATGGACGTTATGTATAATCATCATCAAATTGGTTAAGGGGTTGCCATCTCCCCCTTGAACTGCTTACACCTCTCTATCTGGAGGCAAACGAAGAAAATCTCTCTTTTTAGAGCATTGTTAGTATTATCCAGTATCCAAAGCTTAAACAATGCCAAGCAACTCCTTTAGCTTTTCCATTCCACTGCAGATATAAGAAACAAGTCATTAATGTTTTTGAAATTTTTTTGAAAAAAAAAAAAAGAAGAAAATTATAATTGTCCCAAATTTACCAACTTAATAACTGATGTGGCATTGTTTTATTTGTACAATCCCTATGGAAGTGTATTGTTCTGGCATGTGCACTAACAATGTAGTGCTACATTAGAAAGTATAATAAGTTGGTAGTGTTGGGACAAGACCCAGTCACTGGTTTAAACCAAACTGAACTGGAACTGGTCCTCCTGTTCCAGTTCAGATTCCAGTCGATTCTTCCTGTCAGTTTTCTGGTTCAATTTGCAAGTTAAAATTTCAAATCTTTTTTTATCTTTTGAACCGTTTCAAAACCAAAACCAAAACCAAACCGGATCCAAACCATCAGTTGGGAGACAGGGTTTGGTCCTAGTTCCGGTTCTTGTCTCAACTGTTCCCAGCCAGTGCAGGTCTGAACCTTGGCTGCACCTAGTTGAGACAAGTAGCACCAGTCAAAAAACAAAAGTCAAAGTTATCATGGAAGGATTCGTAGAGATTTTCCAAAATTATTTGATTCGGTACAGTAAAATGGCCCAATTTCACTCCATCATGAACTTGGCCAATTGCATGAACGGATGCTGATATTTAGAAATTGAACAACACCATGGCGAAGAAGTGAATTCAAGCCTAAAACTGATCATTAATGCACAACATAGCCTATGATACAACAAGCTGGTAGCAAATTTAGCTTATTAAAGTAGCAAGTTGCTATACCTCTTGGGGAAGGAAGGAACTAGCTCTTCCACAGCTTGAACAATAACGGAACCAGCTTCATTTGTCTTGGAAGAATTCTGCCTTTCTTCTGCAATCAAACATGAACATGAGAAACCTTGTGGATTATAACCCAACCATAGTAAATAAATGCACGCACTAACTTATAAACATATTTTCTAGGGAAAACCATATTTCAGGTATAATTCCAAAAACCAGAATTCATAATAATTCTAAACTAGAATGAAGACAACTAAAGTCATGGAATATATGTGCTTCCCCTACAGAATTTCTGTAGTAGTGTAGCATACAAAGTTCAGTTTCAAAATAAATTTATTGAGGGGAAAAAGGAAAGAGCTTTTGATACCTTGATTTTCTTGACTTGAGGGATCCCCTCTGAGATATGAACTACCACACTGATTTAAATCTAAGCCTGCTTCGTGTGCAAACTTCTCGAGCATGTAACCAATGATATTGTAGGCAACCATGCTTGTCTCATCACATATATCTTGGATGCCCAGGTATAGATTTGTATGTGTACTTTGCTCATTGGACATAGATTTAACCCCTTTAACATAACCTTCCAAAGGGTTTTCCATACCTACTGTAGTACCTTGTACAGGTTCATTTCCCTTCATAGAGATGCTATTTAACCTTCCACCAGAAGGAAATTGAGGGGAAAAACCATTTTCATTGATCCTTGACGTTGCAGATTTGCCTGTGCTTTCCACATTAAGCATGCCGCTAATATTTCTTTTTCCTTCGATTAATGGAGAGGAACCACAATTCCCCTGAGAGGTAGAAATGGATGGTTTCGAATCCACTGGATCATGCTCCCCACAACTTTCTTCTAGATTATCCAAACCAACAGAATAAGTCCTGCTGCTTAGAATATTTCTAGGTTGCAGTTGCTGACCATCCGCATCACTGTCACCAGTAGCAGTGAAAGTATCATATTCATCATGATGATGATCATCATCATCACCATCATCACTTTCTTCTAATTCTTCCATGTATGCATCAGTAAAATCCTCATCAAACTCATGGTTTGGAAGGAAACCCCAAACAGTCTGCTTCATTTCAGCACTCACACTTAATATGCATTCCACCTCTTCTTCAATTTCCTCCTTCAAGAAGCGTGGATTTGGCGTTCTTCGACAATTCCTGTTGATAAAAGCAAGACCCTCCAATAAAGATTTGGGAATTGTATCCAAATCGTTGCATTCAAAAAGATATTCAGTTAACATTTTCTTCATTAATGTTCTTAATCTCAGATTTGGGACATTGGCATCTGGATCTAAAAGAAGTTTCAAAGTTTTCAATTCCTGGGTTTGAACCTTTGTTTCGAGTAACCAAATAGCTTTTGATATCTCATTCTGCAAGGTTTTTGTTTCTGGTGAGAACTGATTAAAGTCTTCCACAAAGAAATTTGAAAAGACTGCTGTCCTTTTTAGTGATAAACCAGCTACAGCAAGTGCTTTTGCTAATGGTGCTTGTAGCTCAACCCCTCTGCCAAGTTCTGAAAGCATTTTCTCACTAGTTGTCCTTATTTTATGAATCAGGTCTTTTCTGCTCGATCCATATCTTTTTTCTTGCAAGCTAGGAGTGCGAGCTGGCACACCTCTGAGTTTCCTGAGCATAGCAAGCAGGGTATCAGTCGATAAATCACGTAGTCTGTCCAGTATTTTAATAGCAGAAGCATGATGAGATTGAAATGTGGGAATCAAAAGTTTCAAACAACTGTCTCTGACATTTTGTGGGTCCTGGAGGAGTTGAGATAGCTGCTTTAAAATTTCTATTTGCAAAGTGCGATTTTGATCACCAACAACCTTTGGAATTGATTGTTTGATCACCTTCTTCATCTTTGGCCGTGTTTTTTCAAAATTGATTGATCCTCCAGATAGCATCATAGCAAGAAGGAAAAGTCCCTTATTTGTCAAAGCATTAAGGCATGAAAGAAGGAGCCCTTTCAGATTGGATCTGTCAAACAGTTGTTTATTCTCTTCAATAATATTCTCTCTTTCATCATGATGAGCTCCAAAAGCTTCTTCAACATACTTTTTTACAGTCTCATGGAATATCTGAGAAACAACACAAGTAGCTAACTAAAAAATAAACAAAATGCGAGTTTCGAAACAAGAATACAAGATATTCATTAGAATACTATTATAAAGCTTTATTGGAGGCAACCTTGGTCCTTTAGGAGAAAAGTTCTATAAAGGAGAATCTCAAAGCAATTCTATTTGTCAACATGTTCTGTATGAAATGAACAGGACAAAAGGGTTGTTACATAACAGTGAAAGCAAGAGTAAAGGAGGCATTAATAGGAACTCTAATGAAGCATTTAAACAGTAAGACTATATGACCAAACTTACACCAAAATCATGAAAGAATTAGTATCGCCAAAGATCTACAAAAATTTTCACATAGTTAATTTGTTTAGCTTTGATCACACTGGTTTGTTTAATGCTATGGTGCTCATATATGATCCTTATCATATACATTTCCATTTCAATTAAGCATCAGTTTAGGTTTGAAAAACTGAGATACAGCATGTTTACTATTTAGATAAAATGACAATAGCATTCTTACGTTCTTATACTACCATACATCATCCGTGGTCATTTTTTACCCTATATATCCAATATTCATCAATAGAAACACTCACTTTTTAAAACTTATGCAGGAACTCATAATGGAAAATAACTTACATCATCTTCCCTAAGCATAGATTCAGGCATCGACCTGGATAAACCAAACAACACCCAATTACTATAAATATTTTAGTGCAATTATGATGCTAAGATATGACAGGTGAAAAATCACATACCTGTATCTGAAAAGCTTCTTTTTTTCTGAATCAGACATGGGAAGGTCCATCAACCATCTGAATAGAGACATAACTTGGTTAGCGTCTCAAAAACTATTTATTTACTCTAGAAAGCAATAGATATGCAAACCTAATGGTTAAGCACTTCAAATTTTTGTATTGCACTATGACTATTTATTATTATTATTATTTTTTTTTAAAAAAAAAAAAAGAGCAAGATTTGAGGAGCAAAGACTTTGCTCCTTCAAAGAGAACTGTAACAAAAATTAGATCCTGAGCTTAAATTTCAAGGAGGATATATGCTAAGAAAAGAGTGGAAACCAAATTCTATCATTTATAAGGCCTTCTTTTGTATAAATGAATTCTGCAAAATTTTATGGGATACATTTGACATTCATGTTTTCGTGTTTAGTATGAATAAAATGTACATTTCGTTTCTGTAAATTCAATTTTATGAAACTTCAATATAACAAAATCAAATTCTATAATTTCAATACACTTCAAATTCAATAAAACATTCAAATTACTGATACCAAACAAGGTTTCTGTTATTATACCCTTTAAGATTCAAATTGCTTCATCAAATTGGAAGTTAAACTAGAAAGAAATGCTGACATTCATTTACAGCTATAACACATACAAGCACATAGTTTTAAAACCGAGAAAAAAAAAAAAGAAAGAAAGAAAAACCGTTGATGGTTTCTTCGTTGAATATGTGAAATAAGGAAAGAGAAATTAAAGAATTGAAGGTAAACAAATAAAGGTAAAAAAGAAAAGAAAGAAAGAGATACCTCCTCTTGAGCTTAAGTTGCTTCTCTTGGTGCTTAAGATGTGAGAGTATAGTCCGGGAATCCGATAGACAGAAATTCTTCACTTTACCTTCCATGTGTATAAAATTAGGGTTCTTTGATTTATATTTAAAAGAATTGCAGAGAAAGAGAGAGAGGGGGGGACGGAGAATTTAGGGTTTTATTTTTCGCGATAGAAACCAATTAGACAGAAGGGTTTTAGAAGCCTTTTGAGACTTGAGCTGAAAATGTCGGCTTGGCTCAGTTCTTTAAACACGTATTATGTTATGTATGGACGCCAATTAACGCCGTAACGGCTATCCTTTTTCCCCTTTTTCTTTTTCAACAATTTTATTTTCATTTGCCTCAACTTTTATTAAAAAGAAAATATGAAATCAAATTTTTTTTAGAACGTTAAATTTTCTTTTTACTATATACTGAAGGGTTTTGTATAACACTTATCATTTTTAGGAATTTTTGAACTGAATTTAATTGAAATTTTATTAAATATTTTTTATAAAATACCTTTTTATATTCATAGGATGCCAATTATAAACTTTTACAAAGCAGATAATATTATTTTAATTAGTTTAAATGCATAAATATTGAAAAACATACAATTAAATCCTTAAACTCTTTGAGTTTGTTTAAGCCGCTTGAACTTTTATTTATCAACATTAGTTTATTCAACTTTTTATTTTGATAAGAATTAAGTCCTAAATGGCAAAAAAATTTAACAATAATAAAAAAAAAGTGCTTAATTTTAAAAAAATAAAAATTCAGAGATTTGATATCAATTTGTATTTAAATTACGCGACTATCACTCTCTAACTCTAAGTTAGATAAAGATTCAATTTAAAAAAATAAATGAAATTGAAGGGTTTAATATCAATAAATAAAAGTTCAGAGGAATAATAATAAACAGCAGTCCATAAATTTAGAGGCTTAAGTATACATGTCGCCGTAAATAATCTGTTAAAATATTTCAAAATTTTATATATTTAGAAAATTCCTTTTTCCCCCAAATTCTATATATTTAGCTCTTGATTTTATTTTGATGGGTAATACTTTCTCATTAGTTCAAAATCTTTGCATGAAAATTAAAAAAATATTTAATTTTTCTAAATTATAATAAAATCATATATAATTTGACTAAATAACCTTTTATTTCAAAACCAAGAGTTAATGATAACTACTGTATCTATGTAGTATAAATAAAAATAATATTAAAAAAATATTATTTATTACTTTTTAAAATAATTAAAATGACTTATATTTTTAAATAAAATAATTATAAAAAAAATCGGAACGGGTCAAATCTCAACACAGTACAGCACTATGCAAATATGTATTTGCATTCATGCATGGTCATGGTATAGCACTTTTAAATATGGAAACTTTAAACTGTTGTACTGTGATAAAGATCAAAAGAGCTCTCATTAATTGCAATAAAGACGAAATGTTTGTCCCACTTTTTCAATTTCCAATCTAAGACCATTCACGCCGAGTCTCCACACTCATCAATTTATGCCAAACTGTCAAGTCTAGTAGCCTCCAAACCTACTTAGGATTCCCCACAGCTCAGACCAACTATTAACAGACAATATGATTGGCAGGGTCCACCACACTAAAAAGTTTCAAGAACGTCTGATTAATACCCCCACCCAAAAACTAATCCGCAACATAAGGAGAAAATTATACCCCTATCTTTGCAATGCACCCCCATATTTGCATTGCACTCACATTTGCATGGGATCCACCTTCCATCATTTCAGGTTAACTAACAATCATGTGAAAACAAAAAGATACTTATTTCCCTGAAGAAGTAATGTGACTATATGTTAGCATGCAGAAACATTAAACAAAAGACAGTACCCACACAATTTCTCAGTAATAGATAAGTCTTTCGAGAGTTTCCAAACAAAATTAGAGCGAGCAAGAGAGGCTAAGACAAAAATAGATTGAAAGAAAGATGGAAGAGAAAACAAAAAGAAAAAAAAAAAAAAACTGCTATACATGAAAGCTACCCAAAATATACATGTAAAACTAAAATCCCCAGACAAGGTCCTTTCCAGATGCTCCTATTCCAAACAGTCCGAGTCATCCCTCAACTAAATTTTTCAGTACAATAATGTGCCGAAAAGAAAAAATGAAAAAATGTGTACCACAAACTCCACCCCACCACCTCGATTGCCTGCATTATTAGGTGACATAAAAATATTAGACATTAAGGAAAAAAAAAACTGCAGCTGTATTTAGATAGCATATACTCTAGTCAACAAGTGTTCTGACCTTTCCCTTAGTTTCATTAATGATTTCAACTTGACAAAACTTTGTGCTTAACTAAAAGATTGACAAAACTTTGTGTCTAACTAAAAAGTGGAGGGAAGGGAGAAGGAGCCAGGGTTAATATGAAAACACTGATATTACTTTTTAATAAATGATCCAACAAATCATTTCAAATGGCTGAATATATAAATAAGAAACAAATATATTAGCATGCAATATGTAGAAAGGTAGCGGCTTATTCAATTTCTAAAGGTTAATATGAAAACACTGATATTACTGATTAATAAATGATCCAACAAATCATTTCAAAAGGTTAATATGAATAACACTTGATATTTACTGATTAATAAATGCATCCAAACCAAATCATTCAAATGGCTGAATATATAAATAAGAAACAAATATATTAGGATGCAATATGTAGAAAAGGTAGCGGCTTATTCAATTTCTAAAAGGACATGAAAGGGTTCACGTCTCTCGAGCACATATAATTTTCTTACATGATTTAAGTTTGGACAACCCCCCCCCCCCCTTCTCCCCCCCCCCCCCCTTCTCCAACACCCCTTTTTTCTTCTCCTTATTCCTTCTTACATGCTAATAATAAAATGCTTATGCTGAAATGAAACCTAATTTATGCAGCCGTAACTCTTAATCCAGGGAAAATTCCAAGACATCTTAAGTAACAATTTTTTTTTTTTCACAAAAATTTTAAATGTCCACAAAATTACAGAAATATATACATGTACGTATTCAATAAATTGATAAGGAATTTAAATATCTTGTTTTTGTGTGAGTGTGTGTATGACTTTGTTGAGAAGCTACAAAAAGCAAAAGGCAATGGCACACACCAGGATTTTTTAACGTTTCCGATGTCGGCAATGCAGGCAAAGACATCTCTGCATGATAAGTAGTAGCTATTTAGACATGAACATTAAAATGAATTGCATTTATGTGCTTCCTAAGAATCTCTTCATATCATCTTTTAGCACCAAAAAGGAACTTCTTTCTTGATCTATTACCTGGAGCGCAAAATGACAAAGATGACATGGATGATGACGACGGCCATGGGGCTGCAATGTTGTCAGTCAAATCACATGTAAAGCTGAACCCTGTTGAATTGTCAAATACAACATCTGCAGGCCAGCTTCGGAGTAGACACCCTATGCAAAGGTTAAAATTTATCAAAAATGTTTTGCAAGTGCCAAATTAAATTTTCAGTTTCTTCACAAAATTTAACAAGAATTATTTCCTCCTCTTCCTTAATGCAGTAAAATCAACAATAACTTATTTCCATACTCCAGAAAGTGAGAAAACACCACAAATAACCCTTTATGTTGTGTGCTTAATTCTCAAGTCATACCTCAAACCAATTTACTCAGATAATATACAAGAGTTTCACCACTCATTCTAGGTACACAGTAGGGGGAAAAATATTTAAGGCACCCAGGATCCATCTAGAGAATACAAAGGACTATTGTGCAATAAGTCGGTTTGAAACTTTTAGCACCACATTTGCCTATATTTCAAAAGGCCTACTACAGATTTTATTGCAGAGAGAAGAAAAGAGGATGGAAACGGAAGCAAACCTTGTTGTCCATACACTGCTAGAACGTCCATACACATGAAACAACAAAACAATAAAACAAGATCAGATAAAATAACAAAGAGAATGAGAACAAAAAACATTTGACAGAATTACATCAAGGCAAGGAAATAACCTTGGATGCTAAAATCTTTCAAGTCGATGTCACAAAGCTCATATATATTTGTCATGACCCCTGCCTTACGTAGCATGGACCCAAAAACTGTTGCACAGATTATGGCTTGCTTGTTTGTAATTAGCATTTGCTTTTGTAATCCAGCTATATAAGTATTCAACGAGCTACAGCAGGAAGGATTGGGAGCAGCTACATTGCGACATGCTTTAATTACCTCTGAAGGCTGCGTGAAATTTAAAGGGCAAACTGCACAAAAACTATTTACTTCAGAAAAAGGGAAACAGCCATAAAACATCAACAAGAAATGCCACCAGCTCCACAAAATATAATGCATTGAAAGCAAACAAAAATTTTCTGCATGCAAGGAAAGCAAATTACATATTTAATAACCCCATCTTCATGCCAACTAAAGGAATACAAGTCTGATAGGACCACAGTCCCTCAAACTTGGAGAAACTTAATTCACATGTTCCATGCATGATAGCCTGAAGTTCTATCTCTCATTCCGCCTGGAAGGGAAAAAAATTATAAAATGAAACTAGCGCAGATCATAAAGAAAATATTGCATCGTTTGAAGAGTGGATGAACCTAATGTCACTGCTTCACAAGGCAATCCAAAATGCAAGGAAAGTCACCACAAGAACTTAATAGATTAACAAGAAATTTACAAACACAGACATGATATCATATTTACGTAAATCATCCAGAAAAAATTGCAAAAGTTGACAAGCAATAATTTGATTAAATACCATACCCTTATTAACTTTGCAGTTAGACAATATTCGGAATGCAGCATTTGCAGAATCTGGTGAGAGCTTCTTCGAGAGATATGAATATACCACACCTTTACAATCACTAATAGTATCAATATGATTAGGCTTGCTCAATAATTCTTTATCATCATTGATGGTCAATTGTGTTCCAGAAATCTGAAGAACAGCTTGCATAATAGCAGGTTGGCAAATTGGTCTACAACATTCTTTAAGAGGATCAACAGCACTACAGGCCTCCAGTAACTTGCTTGTATTAACTATTCTCTCAAAGCTACTAACATCCTTTACTGAACAAGACCCGCCAGTAAGATTTGATGATTTAACAGAACAGAGTGTAGGTATTGTGTTATTGGCCCCTCTGCTTTCTAAGATGCTAATGATATCTGAAAAACAATCACTAGCAACTGAATTTTCCAAAACCAACCCGTCAGAGTTGATGTTGTAATAACCCTGGAAGATGTGCAGTAAACTGCCAAGCTGTGGACAGCATATTACATTTCCTACAAGAGCTGCTAAAGGTACAGAACAGTCAGATGCTGTTTTATCCATGAGATTTGACATAGCAGAGAAATTTACAGGACATTTCCCAGTTAAATTTGGCTCATATGTGGTGGGAAAAGTTGGGTACATGGGTGACACGGACTCATTAGGATAGGGGTAACGTGGGAAGACAGCAGGAGATATTTCTATGGGATCAAAAAGCCCAGTAATAGGTGGAGTAGCAAGCTCAGCTGTGGTGGAAAGGTGATTAGGTTCGAGCAAAGTCTGCATTGCCACAACATCTTGGAAAATGGATAGCCAAATAGTGAATAATAAGAACTGTTGGCACAGTGAACCTGCCACAGACGAGCCATCTATCAGCAAACACGTGTCATTCACTAGGGTAATAAGAGGAGAAAAATAAATAACAGACAAGAATAAGACCATCAATAAGTGGTAGAGATTGGATACTGCAAATACTCAAGATCCATTAGTGAATTCTAGTGGCCCACCTTTGATTCGAGTAACCATCCAAACAAAGCCCATAGTTCCACTAGCCTTCTGGCACCATTGAGTTTTACGAAAGAAAGCCCTACAGCACCAAACTATACACTTCAATATTGCTCATAGCAATGCCACAATCCCGAATACCTATAAAAATTTAACATGTTAGGACAAAGTTCAATGACGTACACTGCAAAATGTTTGCTGAAGGCTTCAGCTGAGCATAAGAAGTGAGCTTCAATTGATTCCCTATTTTAAATACCCAGAGTACCGTGGTATATTGCAGAACTATTAAACTTGATCAAAACTTTACATCTTAAGTTTATAACAATTTAGACACACATGCCAGGCCAGGCTGTATCATCAAAAGAGACAATTCTTAAATGCCAAACTATTTCACCCTTCTCCAAGTTATGTATCAAATAACCCACATAAATAACCTACCCCCTTAAATGAGCAACCCAAATTTGACTTTTGCTAGTAACATACAGAACATAATTTGTGGTGTTTAGTGCTTTCTTGAAAAAATATCCCTTTGCTAAGCTCTATGAGGATAGGAGAATTTACTCAACATATCATTCTCAGCGGCAAGGCAAACCAAGACTTTAGTTCATCTAAATACAGTACAAGGTATATTTCACAAGAGATTTCTACTTTGCTAGACAACATTGATGCAAATTACTTTACTTCTATATCAATGAAAGCATGAGTTTTTTTGCAGCATTTAAGCACTTATGTTTAAAATAAACTGATTGATTTATCATTCATGGACTCAAACTTCATCTCCCTAGTTCATTTATCATACAACATGAACAAACAAAATTTCCAGTCATATGAGCTAAGCATAAAATAACTAGTAACATATGCTATTTCTATTTTCTATTGTGGATAAAAAGTGAATTGATCTCCTCAATTAAGAATAATTCTTTAATCGTACTCTACCAAGTAAAAGTCTTTTCCAAATAGCAAGGAGTGAAAGAAAGATCTAAGGCAAAATTTATCTTTATTCCCTCAAGTACAAACCAAAGTATCAAATATGTTATCTTTTCCTAAATAATTTAGCAAAAAAAAAAAAAAAAAAAAAAAAAAAAACCTCAGTACAAACCAAAGTATCAATATGTTATCTTTTTGCCTAAATAATTTTAGAAAAAAAAAAAAAAAAAAAAAAAGAACAATCTCAAGTCAAAAAGAAATTATCAGGAAACACAAAATCAAAGAATAATCTCAACACGAAGTCTTTTCTCACATTTCTCTAAGCTACCAAACAAAGGATAATAATTCTTGGGAAAATGAAAAGCAAGCCAAATAATCCTGTTAAGCTCAATAAATTAGAAGCTTCCACACATAAAGCAAAATCAAAGAACCTAACTTCAAAACTTCTTTTCATTTCTGCATTTTCTCAGCTACCAAACAAAGGAAGAAAGCAAAAAAAAAAAAAAAAAAAAAAAAAAAAAAAAAAAAAAAAAAAAAAAAAAAAAAAAAAAAAAAAATATGTACCTGAGGATGTTGAACCCATGAAAGATTTTAACCTGAAATGAAGCGAGTTAAAAGAGTATGGAGATCGAAAAAGAATTGCAAGAATCAAACCATTCGATGAAATTGGATCGATTTTGGTAAAGAAGGTAAAAACAATAAAAAAATGGGTAAGAAACCCTAAATCAGAGCTTTTTAGCTCAGTCAGTAGAAACTATACTACAACAATCTTTTCTATGATTGTAACTCTGGTTGGTTTGGTGGATAAAGTAAAGGAGCCTTTGCTCTCCCTTTTTAGACTCACTCGACCCGACTTGACCCGACTCATGTCGCTTTCTCTGCTCCGTGTTTCCACACCTTTAATTCCGGTATTTATAGAAGAATCCCCTCAATTTCACGTTAATATATTTTTGGACCCTATTTTTAAAAATTAACAATTTTAACTTGTCTGGTGCCAGGTTTTTGCACTTTTGCACTCTCTTGACATTTAAATTAGCCCCCCCAAAGTTTTTAAATTTTTTTATCTATTTTAAAAAGCACATGTAAATTGGTCCCCTCTTATCTTTCAAATTTTATTTTATCTAAGAAATTATTGTATATTTTCTAAAATATATACATTTAACCCTTTTAATTTTGAAAATTTTACTTATTACATACTCCAAATTTCTTGCATTTTTCTTTAAAAACCTATATATAATTTTCATGTTTCTCTAAAATCTTATTTATTATCTCAATATCATTAAGATTCGTATAAAGGTATTTTTATAATATAAATTATGATACTTTAAAAATAAAAATTTATTGTATTTTTTAAAAATATATATATTTTTTTTCATTCTTATTTTTTATTTTCATCTTTTAGGTCTAGGTTTTTTCCTATGCAAAATTACCCTTTTTGGCCATTTTGATTTGATTTTTTTAATGAAATTTTAATTTGATACTTTAAGCAATAATAGAGGGTTATTTATGCTATTTTTGTTTAATCCTACAAGTAATAAGACTTTTCAAGTCAAAATAATGATGAGGGAGAAGGTGAATTATCTTTTTGTTCATTTAATAAATTTTTTAAAATAAAAAAAAATACAATAAATAATTATGTATCACCATCACACAATGACATCACTTCAAGAAATCATTAAGTGTTATTATCACCATCAAAAATAAAATAGTGGTAGTTATTGTCACATTTAATTGTGAATTAGGTTAACCTATAAAATTGAACAATGTGTCATTGTTAAGATCAAATCAAATTATTGTTTGAAAAAGAAAATTCTATTCAAAATTACTATTATTTTTTAACCATTCGGTATTTGAAACTCAACTAATCCTATTAACGTGGATTTGTGTCAGATAAAGTTATAAATGGGATAAAATGCTTTATTTCGATTGTTTAAAAGGACTTTATATCCGATGCTCAAACTCGAGATTTGTCATTTTATGTTCAAATTTGATACAATAGATTCTCTACAATTAATCCTATTAACGTGGATTTGTGGTAAATAAAGTTACAAATGGGACAAAATGCTCATTCTCGAGTGTTTAAAGGACTTTATACCCAATGCTCAAACTTGAGACTTATCATTTTATATTCAAATTTGATACAATAAATTCTCTGTAATTGAATCACTTTAATGTTTTTTTTTTTTTTTCAAAACACTCAATGTATATAATTGAAATGATACTAACTATAACTTATTACTCTTTCATGATTATCCTTAAATTATAGTATATAATTAACTAAAAGTAAACCTAAAATGAGACAATTGTTTCTTTGACTTCACGATTGCCTTTTTTTTTTTTTTTTTTTTTCTTTTCACGATTGCCTTTTTTTTTTTTTTTTTTTTTTTTTTTTTTCCAATCATCTAGAGTGGGCATTAAAAAATAATATAAATTTGCTTTCATTATTTTTTTTTCAAATATAATTTATTTTATCAAAATAACACGAGTGATTGCTTCAATTTCTAAAATTTTATTAGAGCATCGATCGATAAATATATATGCAATTTGATTCTCAATAGCAATAAATCAAATTTTATTATTTCCAACTAACATTTTGTTCACGAACATAATAATAAGTAAATAAACTTAATTAAATAAATTAAACGAGATGCAAATAAGATTAAATTTAACTCAATGAATTAGAAACACCTGCAGTATAAACCAATAAATAAATAAATAAATAGCACTCATATTGCATCAGAAACGTATTATGATGGATTAAACTTGAGAAATCCAACATAAAAAAAAAAAAAAAAAAAAAAAAAAAAAGACTTTAACTACCATAATTCAGGCAAAACAGTATTATCACAATGCTTTTGTACTTCACTTTTTCATATTTTAGTTTTTTGGGCTAGAAAAGAAATTCTTCAACAAAGTAGGCATGGCCACGGTTCCTTCGGAACCGGGCGGTTCCGGTTCCAGAAAAGCTGGAACCGGAACCGAACCGAAAATGGTCGGTTCCGGTCCGAACCGTTCGGTTCCGTTCGCGGTTTCGGTTCCGATTCGATTAAAAAACCGACGGTTCGATTGGTTTTCCGGCGAATTCGGCATAATTTTAAATTTTAAAATTTTTGGATACCGGTTTAAAAAAAAAATTTTTTATGTGAACATAAAAAATAAAAATAACATTTTTTTTTTTTTTAATTTTTTAGTTAAAAAATTTTTTACCAAATATGAAGACCGGTTAAAAAAAATTATTTTGAACATGAAAAATTTAAAAATACACCTAAAAAAATTTTAAATTTTAAAGATCGGTTTAAAAAAAAATTATTTGAACATAAAAAATTAAAAAATACACCTAAAAAATTTAAAAAATACTTCATTAATTTAATTTTTTTAAAGACTTGAATTTGAGTGTGAACATAATGATTTTTTTAAAAAAATTTTGAACTGAATTTTTTTTTTTAAGTTGAACAAACATTTAAAAAAAAAAAGGGCTGAACTTAATTTTTTTTTTGTTTAAAAAAATTAGTTGCCTACGTATCCTCTTGGGGTTTAGAGGAATCAAAGCCCACGTAGTTCTTACTTACCTTATACCAATTTCACCCCATTTACCTTAATCGCTATTTGCACCACCGCTTGATGTTCTCGTTGAGGATCCATCGTATAAATCATATAAATCTTCATTTTCTTTTGGATTTTCTTGGGCTCTTAGTTCGGCCTTAGTCCAATCATCCAAGCATGATTGTGCTTCTAATGAATTGGGTGTCATACGAGATCGTGTTTCATCAAGTATGTTACCTCATTGACTAAAAGCTTGTTCAACCGCACAACAGTGGAGACCGGAGCTACTAAAATTTGTTTTGCAAGTAAAGAAAGAATTGAAAAAGTATTTGCGTGACGACTCCACCAATCTAAAATTGGAAAATCTGCATCAGCATAATCATCACCAAACTCAAAAGAAGTTGTTAGATAATTATCAAATTCAGAAATAGAACTGGATTCCCTTGTTCTTTTTTGTCTTTGCAATGAAACTTATTGAGCAACACCAACACCACTTACCCTTTATGTTGAAAATTGTGGAATATTAGATTGAGAAGAAGTAGAAATAGAAGTAGATGAACTAGAAAACAGAATTTCATTAGATATTATTGCCATATATTTGTTTAACTTCATGCCACTAGTTACGCATTTATATTAACATTATTCTTCTACATCAAGATTTAATACGTCATAATAAATAGTCAAATAATCACATTTTAAAATTATCCATTCTTACATCTAGGATCAAATACCATTAGCAACAAGACTTAAGAGGTTGGTATATTTTGTATAAAATAAGAAACATTTTTTTTTATGAAAAAATACAATCTTTTAATAATCATCATTTTGAAATTTCTTGTAGTGCATGTAACAATATTAATACAATAGGTAAAATAAATTAGACTGTGAGATAATAAACGTCCACAAATTACTCTCTCGTATCATTAAAAATTTTAAAAATAGCTATAAAATTTTTTGCACAGATCTCCCAAATTTTGTGGATATAAATTAATTTCCTCAATATTATTAGTAACAAAAAAAACATAATAATTCTTATAAGGAAAAAACTCGGTTTAGTTAATTCATATGTTGAATTCCAAACGAGTTGGGCATCCCTTGGAAAAAACGTTGTTGGTCTTTATTTATTTTTCTTTACAAAATTCTAGCCCAAACTTTTTCATCACTTGGGGATGTGTCCATAAATATAAATAGCTTTTTTTAATTGGAGAAATACAAAGGAATCAGAATTTTTCAACTATTCTTGTACACATAAAATTTAAAACATGGCATGGCTAACATCTTATCTGAAAAAATTTACCACCATATTTGGTCACAAATTTTTTTGTTCAATAATTGATGCTAGTATTTGCAGGAAGCATTATCCAAATGAAATGAATTTTTTTTGTCAACCTATATTCATCTAAAAATGAAAACAATCTTTAACTCTATAATATTAATTGCAGTATGTTATCAATCAAAACACGAAAACCCAATAATCTTGAATTTCCAATCTTTCATCAATCCAATGACATGTAATACCCATTGTAAGAATGCAATTTTTGCCAATGTATCAACTCCAAACATGTTCACAAACAAAATTGTAACACGATTTTAATTGAGAAAATAAAAAGTTCTAACTCTTTTTTTTCCTTGTTATATAAAGAAAATAATAGTTCGTTTATACAGTATTTTCTTGGTACTCTTTTAGCACAAGGATTTTAAAGCTTTTTGACAATTTAATTATTAAAAACTAATTTTTCACAAACTAAAAAGATAAATGTTCCATAGAAAATCATTTTTGCTAATTCTTCTTTTTGTATTGTTATCATAATATATTAAATAAAGGAAGGTTAGAAGCGTACCCGGAAATTTTTGTTGAGACCCGATTCAAACTCTATTTTTGTTGGAGTTTTTGCCTCCAATGCTTTTCAAATGATCCATAAGCCGCCCGCTTGTTTAAATTTATTAAGATTTTCCAACAATAATTTGGCAAAAATTAACATCGTACGCAATTTTCCACCTTTTGAATTTTTTGTGAAATGAATGGAGAATTATTGTCGGAACTTTGTCTTTGCTCTTCTAACAATTTTGGCTCGTTGCCTCTTTGCTCTTGCTCTCATTCTTCTTGAAATTCGTCATTAAATTCGGATTCTTGAGTTTGGAATATTCCCAAATTTCATTTGGAAACCTTCAAAAATTAAATTGAGTCGCGGAATCATATCATAGATGGTCGTTTGTAGGGGATAGATGATCTCTTCCATTTTCCTGCCCTACCGGAATTTGAGTTTCCTCCACTTTTGCCCATTATATGATAATAAAATATAATTTGGAAAATTAATAAAAAAAATTAGAGAGAATAATTACTTTAATAAAGAAGATATTGTAGAGTAGAGAAGAATAAATTGAATAATTATAGAGTTAGAGCTGTAGTATATTGTAGAGAGAGTAGTATATTATAGAGAGAGGTAAGTAAGGAGTTGGATTTTTTTGTAATGAATTTGTTAATAAAATGAGTAATTTTAATAAATCCAAAATCATTTTTCAAAAATTACCCTTAAAACTAGCCGTTTATGCTGTTGGGGGGGTAATTAAGAACATTTCAACAAAAAAAAAAATCAAAAAATCTGACAGTTCAACGGCCTAGAAACCGCCAGTTTCCAAACCGGCGGTTCCAGTCCGGTTCGCGACCGGTCTCTCTTTGGAACCGCCTAAATTTAGGATTTCTAAGTTCCTCATTGCAGGAACCCGGAACGAAAACGATTTTTCCTCCACGTTTCCGGTTTGTGTCCGGTTCCCGGTTGTTCACCGGTGTTCCGGTTCTCACCGGTTCCGGTTACGGTTCCGGGCCGGTTCGAACCGACGGTTCCGGTTCCCGGAACCGTAATTTGGCCATGCCTACAACAAAGTCTAAATGATGAGTGTTCAACTATGTTATTTGTAGAATTCATTTATAAATAAATTTTCATATTTGGTATATTTGATTTAAAACATATAACTCAATTGAATTTCACATAATTATTTATAAAATAAATTTATAATTGAAACTTCGTTTGCTTTTATTTCTTAAAATATCATTGAAATAGTAATTTCATAAAAATAAATAATAAATACTAATTATATTTATGTTATGCCATATAATTTGTTTATATATTTTTATTAAAAATAAATTATTTAACAATTAAAAATAATATTGGTAAAGATGTGTTATATTTAAAAAAATAATATTAGTAAAATTATTATATTTAATTTAATGATAACTATATATTTAACTTGAATCTTTTTCTTCTTACTAGTAAAAAAAATGCTAAAAATACTAAAACAAAAGATGAAAAATATTAAAATAAAAAAAAACAATAATAAGAAAATATTTTTTTTCTACAAAAATAAAATTTTTAAATAGTTTTGGTCAAATTTAATAAAATAAATAAGTTCAATAAGTAAAAAATTGAAAATTCACTTTGTATGAAAAGAAATGTAGTTTTATCGTATAAAGTTGGATTGTTTAGTTTTATGAAATTCATTTAGAATTTCTTTTATGAATTTCGCGTAGTTATATTTAATTATATAAAATTAAAGTCTACATTTTTTGTGTTCCAAACAAAAAAAAAAAAAAATTAACATGAGGAGTTGAGATGATTCTATAAGTGTTCCTTACCATTTCATTTGGTTTCAAATACAGGTGGTTATATTTTATTAAGTAAATTATTAAACTTCAGCTCTTTTTTGATCGGATAATTAATGAAATAAATTATTATTTTTCTAAGTTTGAAAAAAAAAAAAAAAAATGAAGTTACAGATGGATTCTATAAAATTTTATACAATTCATTTGTTTCAAACATGGGTTATATTTTATTAATAATTTATTAAACTTCAGCTTTTTTGATCGGATAATAATGAAATAAATATATTTTTCTAAGTTGAACTAATAAATTTTGGTGGAAAGAAAAAAAAAAAACCCTATAAACTTATAAATTGACACCATTCAAAATTTTAAAATTTATTAAATTGAATCGATTTTCACCCTTACGCTCGTTTATCAATCTAACCAACACGTTATTGGCTATAATTTTATTTTAACTTAATATATAAATGTATAAATTTTTATTTTTTTTTCAATTAAGTGCATTTGGTTGGATGAAATTGATGGAAAATTAAAATTGATAATTTTGCTCAATAAATGATGTAAATATAAATATCAATTCAATGCATCTCTCTTTAATTCATCTCTCTTTTTTATTTTTTTATTTTTAACCTTTTATTGTGTTATATCTTAATGTAAATACATAAATTTGTTTTTTATTTTTAACTTTTTATTGTCTTAATAAAAAGTTAAAAATGTAAAATGTTATGAATCTTTTGTAAAGTACATGGGTTAATTTATGCATTTGGCTAACAGACAAATTTCACTTGTAAGATTATGTTAGAATCAATAAAAATTCGAGTCTGGAGATAAATATTTGAAAAAATTATTTCATCCGTCTTATTTTGTTTGCTTGATATTTTTTTTCGGATGTTTTAAAGTATTTTTTTCGGATGTTTAAATATATGTATTTTGTCAATCCATGCAAATAAAATAAGACGATGGGAATATTTAATATTTTTATTTAAATTAGACAGTTGGAAATCTTAGATTAAATTAAAATAAAAAAAAAAAAACGAAACAAGAAAAAGGGTGAAAGAAAAAAAAAAAGGAACAAATAGAAGAAGAACAATTGGATAAAAAGAAAACATGCACTTCTTCATTTCTTCTCTGTTTCAGCACCAACGTAATAGCTTCAGCAGAACACAATGAAGAACAACGATAACAACAGCAGTTCAAGTATCGATTCAAGATTTAATCAAACTCTAAAAAATGTCCAAGGGTACGTATCAATTCCCATTTCCTTCTTAAATTCTTATTTCCTTCTCAATTCTTATTCATTAGACAGTATTCATTTCTTGTGTTTTGGTTTTGACTAAGAATCCCATTTGAGGGAAAAGAAATTGCTTCAGATCTTTCAAATTCCCATTCTAATTCTTGAATTTGAATTCCTTGGAATTTCATTTCTCAGTTTCTGGAGAATCATTCTATTTTATAGCGTATGCTAAGAATTGAAGTTTCAAAAGATTCGCATTTGCTTTGAATAGCTAAACTTTGTTCTTGGTTAATATTGAATGCGAGGAAAAATTTGTGTAGTAAGCTTCAGATCTCTTAATTTGTACCTGGATTCGAAATTCGGTGATCATTTATAAATTATTTTATGGAAATTATAGCATTTGGATCTCAAGAATTACATGGTATGGTTGTAAAATTGATGCGGGTTTTGTTCCACGTGATGTGTTTTGTAGAAATCAATTCGAAAAGAAAAAGCTGCCGATTTTTGCAGTTACAAGAATTGTCTTCACATATGAAAAATGACATTCTGTATTCTAGTTTTGATAATTTATGCTAACATGTGAGCAAAATATTTAGGAATGGCAACAGGGTAGCGATTCATTCCTAATCCCATTCCCGTCCCCATCCGCAAATGTTAAAAGTTTTTTACTTTTTTCTTCCTCCTTTTTAGAAATATGAATATATATATATGTGTGTGTGTGTGTGTGTGTGTGTCGGGGGGCCTGACCTCATTGGCTCATACATGTATATGTTAAGAGAGATGCATTTATGGAGAGTCATACATATGCCACCTAGATAGCTGTTTTTTTTTTTCACAACTATACGAAATCTAGCTTGATAAGTATTTAATACCTGTTATTTGTCATTATTTCAATTAATATTATTCCAAAGCTTGCTGAAGCAGATTTTTGGCTAGGTGAATGCATTAAGTCTTTGAGTGAAACAATGCTGATGCTCTCTTTGCTTCTTTTTTGTGTGTGCTGTGCAAGAATGCATGTATTTGTGTCTGTCCAAAAGTTTTAAGTGGTGACTAAGTGCCTGAAAATTATCATCTTCCATTAGTTCTAAAGTTAAGTAACCTGTACTTGACATTCGTCTGGTTTCAAGGTGCTTTTCTGAGCATATTTATTGCTGCTAGCCACGGATTTTAGATTTTGAATTATGTTATCTGCAAAGGAACTTAGTTTTTTTCTTCTAATTTCTTTTCCAAATATCTTATTGCTTTCAAGGTTGCTTAAAGGTCGCAGTATTCCTGGTAAAGTATTGCTGACCAGGAGAACAGATCCTCCCGAGGATCCAAGCGTACACTCTCCTGGTTTTGGGAGGAGCTTTTCGGAAAATGATGCTGGCATAAGTGATCGAATGGACATGTCGAAGGAGGTGATATAGATAACAGATACCCAATTTATCAATCCCTGTGCTTTTAGTATTTTTAGTGTGCTTTTTATTAACTAGAGATTTTTGTAAGGATAGTCGCATTTCTCATATAGGCAGAAGCTCGGAGTACAAGCAAGCTAAACAATAATGCAACTACAAACAAATTGAAACCTTCAGTTTCCAGTATTGAGATTGCATCCAAAGACGTTCAGAAGATCCCTATGGGTGCTAGAGCTACAGATTCTGCAAGGGTTATGAAGTTCACTAAAGAGCTCTCCGGAACAACGGTTATATTAGGTATGTTGCTATAAAGTTTTTCTTCTTTTACATTGATATTTTTTATTTTATGCTTTGGGTTTGGGTAATTTCTTTATTGAAGAAAATTTTGAATACAGAAAGTAAGATTCAATGGTAGGGATGCCTAGACTTGGGGTGACTTTAATCCTTTATGAAGATATGAGGAGATATATGGCTTAACTGCACTATGAAAAACCAGTTTGATATGTAATATTAAACAATGATAAACATCATTGCAATGACCTAAAATGGCACTTGAGCATGATGAGATGGTTTTATAAGAGAACTGCATGTGGGAGTTAAAAGGAGAAAAGAAAAAAAAAGAGTAAAGGTTCAAACAACAATGGAAATCAAAAGCTGATTTTTTTCTTGAAGATTGCATGAAAAAGCTGATTAAATATAACACAGATTGAATACTGATGCAAGTGTCAGCGGCATTGTAAACACAGTTGGGCAAGATATAAGAATGCATGGATTTTTAATTACTTTATGTCATATGAAATTTTGAGAAAGTACAAACATGGTGAAGAATTTTGTAAAGGGTGTTTGTCTGCCATGCTTGTTGATATAGAATGCTGGAAAGTTAAGAAATACAACACAAATATGGGAAATGTTGGTGTCTAATTAGATGAGAGATCAGAAGAGGGAAGATGTAACATGAAACACTTACATAAGTTTGGACCTAGTTAGGAACTGTTGATAGAAGTTAACACAATCTGGGGATGGCTTGGCAGAGTTGTCTTAGATCTTTAGTATTATTATTTTTTCTGAATGGAAGATGCTTTAGTTATTTTTATGCAAGTGGAGCAGTTGCTATCATGTTCACTTCCCAAATTTACCCTTCTTACCATAAAAAATGCATATTTTATGTGACCTTTTTGGTCAACAGTCAAAAGTTGTTTATATTCTTCTTTATTCTTGCATTAAATTGTTAACCATCAAGCAAAAGGAAGGATGAATTCTATTTGTCCTTTCTCCTTCCTTTCTTTTCACCATTTGCTTCACCTCTAAACCCTCCCATCCAACTAATCTTTGCTACAAGGAAAAATGATGAAGGTTCACTTTCTAGAATTGATATTCTAGTTGCTAAGAATTAAAATTCTAGGGATGGGTATGATAATTTCAGGTTATTAGGGTTTGTACTCCAAGAGGAATTTTTCATAATTGCAAAAACAGGCTAAGAGGAAAATATTGTCATTAAGATGTAGAATTTAAGACAGAATTGCTGCATTGCCAATCAGAAGCTGCAGCTCTTCTGATAGTGATGCAGGCATTACTTCTCGTTCTTTTAATATGACTACTAATTGCATTTCAAATTTGAATCCATTTTTCTTCTTAATATTATTTTTTAAATTTGTGCAGAGAGATTGCGTGAGTTAGCTTGGAGTGGTGTACCACCATACATGCGTCCCAACATTTGGAGGCTTCTCTTGGTGAGCTTGGCCAATCTATACATGCCCACATACTAGATGCTTCATTTATTTCCCATAAAAGCAGCATAAATTATCTGAGTTTCCATTTGAGAAACCTGATGTTAATCAGCAAGGTCTAAAACTTAGAGGTTGCAGCTCATTTTAGTTTTATTTTCACATATGCACACAAACACATGCTGAGCGTGCTAAAGGAAAGGATAATTGGTGTTATATGGATCATAACCTCTGACTAGTGCGCTTAACCTTATATGGCTTCTTATGCTCTGAACTATGAGCTCCTTTTTATAAACAAAAATTTTGTTGCTTGTTTTAAATTTAAATATCAACTGACAACAGGGATATGCACCACCTAATTCAGATAGAAGGGAGGGGGTTTTGAGAAGGAAGCGCATCGAGTATCTTGATTCTGTTGCTCAATTTTATGACATTCCGGATACAGAACGTTCAGATGATGAGATCAACATGCTTCGCCAGGTATTTCCTGATCAAATGTTAATGTGTTATAAAACCTATGCGTCTACCAGTTCTTGATAAATCTCTTTACTTTCGTTTTTAGATTTCTGTTGATTGTCCTAGGACTGTACCTGATGTCACTTTTTTTCAACAAGCTCAAGTTCAGAAATCACTGGAGCGCATTCTTTATACATGGTTAGATATTAATCTTAGTCTTCCATTCCTTATTGTCAAGGGTTTTTGAATGTAATCTGTATGCAAGCACTTTATCTGATTTTTCTTGTGTCTTGGTGATGATGATATGACTGTAAATGAAAAGAACTCTGATTTTCTCTTTGAATTAAGAATTGACCAGATCTCCTTGTATAGTTAGAGATCCAACATTGGGTGTAGGTATCCACATCGAGCATTGATTCTAGGCTTCTTTAAAAGGGGAATTCAGATACAATACATGTTCAATTTAATTTGAATTCCCATAAGTTTACCTTTGGGTTACTTGAACCCTCTCAATGTCTGAGTAATCTGTATCCATAACAACTTGGAAAAAGGCTACACCGCAAACCATTTAAGCTGACTTGTTTGAACCTTCATGGCTCGACTCGTTTACCATCTCTACACTAACAACCTCAAGTACTGAATAGACTGCTATCTGGAATGTCAGTTTGCAACCAATTGAGTTCAGGTCTCAACATATACTCAGATTTGAGTTTGGACTTAAAGGATTGGAACTGTTCAAAGTTCTGACTGAGATTGGTCTAAGTTCTTCTTTCTTAGCTACCAAGAATTCTATTCAGAAACTATTGCATTTTATCTCTCGATACTGCAACTATTCTACTACACAACAGGTCCATAGCTGTTGGTCATTTTGGGGGTGGGTGAGAGTGTTGTACAAGGACTAGTGACACTATAGCTTAAGTTTAAATTTGCTTGCTACAATATTTTCTTGCTTGCTTTTGCTGACTGCTAAAAAAAAACAAGCCTGTATCATAACCGTTGTACCCATCAGATTTTATATTAAAGGCGAATAGGTTGATCTAAGCAGCTCTTGGCATGAAAAATTTGGGATGGTTCTGTTGCTTGGGATGATTTTAACAAGTTTCCAACATGTTCTGTTTATGTGCGGTCTGCATGCAGTCTTCCAGATTCTTGCAGCGCACTGTGTAAGGTCCTTCCACTATGCAAACTAGATGAACTAGATGTTTGACCATGTGACAAGGCTGCTTTTTGGTTTGGGAAATCCTAAATAGGACGCAACAATGGCTTGAGCTCTGTATGCAAAGGCACTAGGCTGGGATCTCATGGAATCTCATATTGTTGTCTGCGATAACATGACAAAGTTCTCTGAACAACAGAACATGCTATAGTACATGAGGATTTGTAATTCAATTGCTATTGACTATACTGTGATAAATATGCTTCTGATAAGGATACATGGATGAGGGTATGACACTTTGATACTCCAAAAAGGGGAATAGATGGAGGTTTTGGAAAACAGCTATGTCCAACACCAGGTCATATGTTTGCATCTAATTCAAAGAACCATAGTTGCCTAACCATATAATTCATGACAACCAATCTTGTGAAAGAGTTCTTGTATTACTACTAAATCTTTAGAAATACTCTTGTATCTGCTTTGTTCCTTGTAACTTCCATTGAACATTATCTTTTTTCTCAGATCTGGTGTTTCTTGTAGCTCAAATTTTACTTGGGTTGTGATGTTTTAACGGCAGAAAAAAAATCTGTTTATCATGTGATGCTGTAATGCATGGTGATAAATGCCCTCACCAAGTATTTCATTATTATTCTAGTGGTAATCGATTTTTTCTTCAGGTGTTATGTTTCTTAATTTTTATACAGGGCAATCCGGCATCCTGCAAGTGGATATGTTCAGGGAATAAATGACCTTGCAACACCCTTTCTGGTTGTTTTCCTATCTGAATACTTGGAAGGAGACATTGATAACTGGTCGATATCTGATCTAACTCCAGTTAAAATCTCTAACATAGAGGCTGATTGTTATTGGTGCCTCTCAAAGCTACTAGATGGCATGCAAGACCATTACACATTTGCTCAACCAGGAATACAGAGACTTGTATTTAAGTTGAAGGAATTGGTTAGGCGGATTGATGGTAAAAATTTCTTCCTTTACCTTATCTTTTATTGGAGATAGGGTTTACATTTGCAACCCATGACTTCCCTTCTATATTGCTTTAAGATGTAAACCTGTGTTTTTGGTAAAAGAATTCCTTGCTCTCTGAGAGGCATCTTGTTTATCCGTGGTCAAGGGTTGGAAGAGCATATTTGGAATTTGTAGTTATCAACTATTATTGCTATAAGAAATTGCTATAAGAAATTGCTTTTCCTTGTTTCTCCTGTCCTCTGGTAGTGTTTGGTGCAATATATCCCTCAATAAATGCATCAGCATTACCACACTGATGCGTCAGTATGACATCTGCATTCATGCAACAGTATTTTCAAAATCCCAATATTGCCTCACGTATGCATAAGCATAACCCATTTTATTTATAAAATTATATGCTTTGTGTAGTCAAGTATGTGCTGTCTCAAATCCTATTTTTCAAAAATTTGTACCAGAACCTGTTTCAAGGCACATGGAAGAGCAGGGGCTTGAATTTCTTCAATTTGCTTTTCGCTGGTTCAACTGTCTTTTAATACGTGAGGTTTGGTTTCTAACTTTCATTGCCTGTTGTTGCAATTATTGTATTACCCTTTATTGCAAAAATTTTCAGAATGAGTTCCAACTGTGAATTGAACCATTATGATTGAGTTATAACTGTGAGAACTTTTGCTGTCCCTGTGATTTTATTATTTATTGAAGCAATGTCAAATTTTGTTTTCAGATCCCTTTTCATCTTGTAACCCGCCTGTGGGACACATACCTTGCTGAAGGAGATGCTTTGCCAGATTTCCTTGTGTACATATATGCAAGTTTTCTTTTGACGGTGAGTCAGTCACTTCCTATTCTCTGATGTTACTATCCGATTCATGTTATCAATGCACTATTGCTACAAAATCATTGCAATGCTTATGTGAATGATAGAACATCTTTCGACTGCTGTATGTTGGAAAACTAAAACAAGCATGTTGTATAAACAATCATAACGGAAAGATTCGAGAGCTTATGTTTCGCAAGCAACTTTTATATGTTCAATCAGGTCATTTTAGTTTTCATGAATTTAAGGAAAATAGCAGCTTCAAATACACTGTTGATTATTGGTACTTTAATTTTGGTTTATCTTTTTCTTTCTCAATGATCAAGAAAATCTTAGCACTTCTAGTGAGAAGATTTAGTTTCAGCTTTCTTTAGAAAGATTTATGCATTGAGTATTAAAAATGTGCTCTGTTTTTTCCTCCAGTGGTCAGATAAGCTACAGAAACTTGATTTCCAAGAGATGGTGATGTTTCTTCAACACCTTCCAACTCAGAACTGGACACACCAAGAGCTAGAGATGGTACTTTCTAGAGCATACATGTGGCACAGCATGTTCAACAGTTCCCCTAGCCACTTAGCTAGCTAAAGATGAAGTGATGTTCAACATACCTATTAAACAGTCTTCAGTTGAAATTTTCTTGATAACCGTTTGTTTTTATTTTTTGGGGTTTCTTGAAGTGGTCTGTTACATGCAGATATATGTTTTCTCATTCTAGTGGAGGTGGTCAAAGAGTGTCGTCACACGTGTTTGTTGCTTGTAATATTTTTGTATTCTGTAGCATTTCCTTGTACATTTACCATTGAGTGAAGAAAGAAATTAACGCGAAGTAATCTTTATTTAACAATTTTTCAAGTTGAGTTGGGAACTTAGGGCGGAATTTTCATGTGATAACACCAATGTATTTTCACTCTTGGCAGTATTTGTGCCTGGTATGTCGAACAGGTTATGGATTTTATATGAATTCTGTCAATCAAGCAGGTTATGGATTTTATATGAATTCTGTCAATCAAGCGAGTAGGTTATGGATTTTATATGAATTCTGTCAATCAAGCGAGTAGTGGAAGGTCTAAAGTTCGAATTTTTTTGACCACAAGATCTTTTATCAATTTGATAGGTTAAGAAAAGGACTACTCTTGTTATGCAGTTCCACAATTTCTCCAAATAGAGTCATCCATATCCAAATATTATTGCACCAAGTCATATTCTAGGAATTTCCACATAACAAATCCAAATATAATAAATATGTTTGTTGCAAAACAGAAAACAGTTACTGAATGCAACACAACCCCAAGATGCAAAAACAATTTTGTTTAACCGGCTTAACCCAAATCTCTTGTTGCCTTGTAAACTCTCTTGTGCATGCCCTCTTCTTCTAGGTGGCTTTGACAAGTTCAGATAAAAACTGCTCCATGAAAACTGAAATAGTAAAGTTTCGCTAGCCTTCTAAATTCTATCTATGTGAGTAAGCCATGATATCTCTGGCATCACAAGAATTCGAAATATTCAAACAAGATTTAGCGATTTCCTTCTTGCCTGCAATAGTAATACACACTCATATTAGAGGCCAATAATGTTCTTGTTAGACCTGCCTACAGGAGAATTGCAAGCTCCCCCTTACAACATATAACATGCAGGGAAATAAATTTCTCTTCATATTTTATACACTATAGTCAAAGGATCATAATTTTGTTTCACTATTTTAACATAACATGTAGAAGATACAAAATGAAAACCCTTTACATGCTTTAATAGACACCATAGCCAAAAAAAAAAAAAAAAAAAATTGGTTAATAACACCTATAGTCAAAGGATCATAATTTTGTTTCACTATTTTTAACATAAATGTTAAAGATACAATGAAAACCCCTTTTACATGCTTTTAATAGACAACATAGCCAAAAAAAAAAAAAAAAAAAATTGGTCATAAATAAGAATCACTACAGTGTTTTTTCTGCTCAAGTTTCTTCCAAGAAATTTATCGAGGATAATCATATAATTCAACTGCACTGCTTTTCCTTTATAGTAAGCTGCAAGCTCTTCTCTCCAGCCTCATCAAGATTCCTAATCACAAAAATGGCGAAGGTTAACTTATCTGGTCACAAACCTGACCATGCCTTCATCTGTTTATAATCCGTTTTCCATTGCCTTCTCAAATCATATACAACTTGTAAGATAAGCTCCAATCATCTCAGTAAAATGGCTCTTTGTAATCAGGTTTCAAACCTTCTTTTCTAATTTAGAAATATATACCTCTTTCAGCTAATTTCAATCTAGTTTCCGTTCCTTCTTTTCCCCAACATTCTGAATATGCTAATGATATATGATAGATCTGGTTTGGTACCATATTTCCTTCTCACAAACTCAAAGACTAACTCTTGATTCCGGTTCAATACAAAAACACAAATAGGCAAGAACCAGAAAGGACAATTTAAAAATTGGTACAAGAAAAACAGAAAAACGTTCAAAACATAGAGAATCTAGAGAATTGATTCTTTCCAATACAGTATATATGCTACTTGTGGTACTTGTGATTTTTATGAAAATTAATGAAATTCCAGTAGCAAATCCATACATTTCAGGTTGAATATAAATGAAACACTCATTCCCGAGTCCCTACCATAACTAATTTAGTTGACATGGGTTATGATGCCAGAACCGAATCATTTAATATCAATATTAGAATTGGCAAATCAGTATAATTAAGTAAAGGCTACAAATTTCTGCTCGACTAAAAATTTAGTTGATTTTGCAAGTGAATTTTATTAACTTCCCAGAAATAATAAACAATAACATATGCCCAGAGTTCATTTTAATAAATGAATTTCACCACTGAGATTTCTGTTAACAAATGAAATGAATTCAGATTGATTTAAAACACGATGCAAGTTTTTTGACTATCCCGTCCCACAAAATTAAGAATTCAACTTGCCAGCAATCGTCAGCAAAGAATCTATTATAGTTTCTTGATAAAAGCCAACGAAAATTCAAATGGGAGTAAACATTCCTCTATATAATACGCTTATGATAGTTTAAAGATTCCAAATTTTTAAGCAATAAGTTACGAACTTTAATGGAGGAAATTGAGATTTCAGTATATATCCGAGGATTCCTTGAAAGGGCTGAATTGCTTGAAAATGCATGAATAACCTATGTACACGCCAAGAGTAAAACAGAGTACCGTGTGATAGCGCAAATCCAATTCACCTTTGATTTTGCAAGACTCAAGAGTATCAAAAGCAAGTCAGCTTTTGAGGAGCCTTGAAACTTTATGCCTTAAAAACCATCTTCTAATCGGGTGAGATTGGGAATTGATTTAGCCAAATTTTAGGGATTGAATTGCTTGTATGGGCTTCTGTTTGATAATCTCTTTGGCCCTCCATAAGGGTTTGTCCTTCGCCCTTCCTCTTAGGGCTACGAAGTGATGAGAGTCCAGAGGACCCCTGAAAGTGGATTTCTCTGGGGAAATTTCACAGTAGTTAAAGGAGGAACTGAAACTTGAGGACCTATTAGCGTAAGATTTCCATGGGTCGCACTAGTTGATGAGTGAAAAAACAGAAATTTGCGATATTTTAACACTTTGTTCGGATGAAGACGCGGAAGGATGATTAAACTAACTTATAGCAAGCGCTTAAAAAGAAAAAAAAAATATAATATCAATACGAGAAAATTAATAATAATAATATTTTTTTGATAAATAAATAGTTTAATAATATTATTTTATATGATTTGATATTGTTAAATATAAATATTAATAAAATAGTTTTTGTGATAAAAAAATTTTAATAAAATATAGATTATACCCATAATTTTAAATATTTAATTTTTTTTAATTCTGCTTACAACCAAACAAGTATTAAAAATTGAAGTGAATTTAGACGAGTTTTTAACAGATCATCAAAAATAATTTTTCAAAAATCGTACTCTCCCTCAAACTCTCTTTCCAACGATTATAATAACTCTCCTGTTTTCTTAATTTTTACTGCCTTAATTTTACTGTCTGAACCTAGCAAATAACTCCCAAACGGCACTTACCTAAACAATCTATAATTGTCGACTCAAAAAACGACATATTCCTAAACGACAGCGTAAGTAAAAATCTTCGGTGTTTAATTAAAAGACGCTTTCGGCTTGACTGGGTGAGCTACTTCCTGTTTTCTCAAGAGAGGGAGCAGAAAAAAGAGAAAAGAAAAATGGAGGGAAGGTGGAGAAGATGGTAACTAATGGGTGATAATGGTGGTTCATTTAGTGGGTAATACTGAAATATTCCTAGAGGATTCCTTGCTTACTAGAACTGAAACATTCCCATTACAGTCCACTGCCTTCTTGACATTTATCAATCTCCTTGCGTTAATTACCCGTTCACCAATTAACTTTTTCTTCTGCTGCTGATTTTGGGTCTAAATAATAGCATATTGAATCAAGACCAATATGCTGGACTACACCTGCCCTGTGGATCGTCTTGTTATTAATTGTTCTTGAATGCTTCTCAGGTACGTGGGATTTTTTATTTATTTTTTTAAATTTGCAAGAAAAGTTTTTGATATTTGGAGAATTTCTTTAGTAATTTCCTTGTTTCAGGTTTGATTTAATTGTTGCTCCTAGCACATTTTTCCCAGGTTAAACCTATTCTTACAATTCTAAACATAATTTCCTACCGGATGCAGTTAATTTCGTTTTGGTTTGAATAATATTAGATTTTCACTCGTATAGAGACGGAAGCCATGGATGGATAAGCTTCCCGTTTTATCAAAAAAAAATGGCATTTAAAACAAGGATCATCTGCCCAGGATTATTCAAAAGCTATTGCAGATCCCCCTACTACGCAATCTTCAAACGTTTTGAAAGTCTATTTATAGTTTTTTATTTTCTCTTTTTAACATTTGATTGCCTATCCTTGGTTGAAGTTTCTCAGTTTCTATTAACAAATAAGGACTTTCCTGCTCTTTTTTATCCCCTTGTGATTTTCAGTGGCTTGACCACTGTGGATCTGCCAACTTTTATTTGATGTTGGAAATAGCTTTGGGGTGCCCCTGCAATTGTTGAAGATAATTTTATAACATCAGGGTTTGCCCATATGAATCTTCCTATCGGAAGACTGGGATATATTTTAACTTTCTTCTCATATTTGAGTTTTTAGTCACTGGAATATTTTGAATTTGGAAACTTTTTTGAATATCCTTAAATTCTCATGTGACTATGTCAATGCAGTTGGTTATAAATGGGAAGCGAGTAGTGATGATGGGGTGGATGACACATGGATTCAATTGTTCCTCATCATTTTATAAAATCTTATCCTTACCCATCCTTTTAATGGTTAAATGATCTTCACACGGGTATGCCATTTGACTCATCATTTAGTGGTTTTGTCTTTATATTGATGTTTCTATTGATTAATGGAGAATTATAATTTTCCAGGTTGACAATGGATGCATTGATCCACTACTTCCATCCCTTAAATCAAAGAAGATTGGGATGTTCTTATTGTTCAACATTTCCCTTGGTGTGGTAAGATTGAGGTACCTTATCAATGCAAATTCCGCTATAATTTGTGTATTGGTCTAATAAGTAAATTATTCTTGTAGATGGGTGCATAGCGTTTAAGTAGATATCAGTATGCTACAGCTACTCCTTTTAATGTGCTGATCTTGCAATTCAAGTGATCCAACCTCTGTAATGCTTGTGCTCCTCAGGAACTAGAAAAAGAATAATTGTGCTCATATATATTTGCAAGAAGCTGTTCCCTCCTTCTGATAATATTACCTATAATGTTTGTTTTATTTTTTCATTAATGAAACTATGGGGCTTAAGTTTCAAGACAAACATGGTATAATCGTCAACTTCTCTATCTAACAACCCCATAATGTAATGATTGCTTATAGCAAATTTACTGATAAATTATTCTTCTCATGAATAGTGTCTGGAATTGAAACTTGTACTCATTGGACGAGATATAAACC